AAAAAAAAAAAAAAAAAAAAAAAAAGAAAAAAAAAAAAAAGGATATAAATAAACAGACAAATGCCGGGAAAATGAGGGCACGATGGCATACAAAGATAAATGTGAATACAGTTGGGAACAAATGGCAACATCAACAACGCTTGGTATGTATTCCACACAGATTAGGGGCTCAAAGCCCCCAACAAGCTCTCTAGAGCGTTGCGTCATGGCTCTGGCTTATATTTTGGCCCTGTCTAGTTTTTGAACAAAGTACACGATCCATTGTTTATAGGTGAAATACTGATGGGCTTAGTTCCAGCCGAGCGAATTTTCGGCCATCACCGGTGCACTGATCATCTGAGTGCGGCCAGTGCCCCGGCTGTTTTGACTGTTGCGAGAGAGACGGCCACCCGCGCCGAGGACGGACCCGGCCCCGCGGCCTTCGCTCATCTGGTCGACGCTCGAGGGGGAGCGCTGGTGCAGCTGGCGCTTCTTCCGGTACCGACGCGCAACCCAGAACATACCAGCACCATATGCTGCAGCACCGGCCACAGCACCACATCCAATACCAACGGCGCTAGCCTTGGTTGTACCGGATGAGCTGGTACCAGCGTCGCCTTGGTTGTAGCCACTGTCACTGCCATCGCCATCGCCGCTGCTACCACCCGAGCCACCGCTGCTGGACGAGCTGCCACTGGAAGAGCCCGAGTCACCCACCAGAAGAGGAATGGAAGGGTCGATCATGGCCATCAACGTCTTGACCGTCTCGTTAGGCTGCTCGTAGAGCCTCGAGATGGGGTTGTGGAGCATCTTCCGCAGGGTGTCAACATCATCTGAAGGGATGTACATCAGGGCAACGGTAGCAATGTAGCCAGTGCTTGCCGAGTTGTCGTAGGGTTGGAGGTCATACATGACCACGTCAGAGTCATTGAGCTGCAACGCGTAGCCCAGACCCTCCGGAACATACATGAAGATCTGGGAGGAAGACAAGGGCGTTGTGGCCACAAAGCTCCAGCGCAATTTGCCATTGAATCCGATCTGGACCAAAGTATCGTTGGCTGGCTGATCGGGAAGGCCACCAGAAGGAGAGATTGATCCCGGAAGCTGAGCAGCAGCAGTGCTGGTACTCGAATGGGTAGCCGTGCCCGTGCTCACTGCCGTAGTAGTCGTGGGCTCAACCACGAGAATACTCGACGGCAGATAGTTGTCAGAGTCGGAGGTGGTCGTGGTCGGTGTAGGGGTTACAGTCGTCTCAGCGGCCGAGGTAGTCGTCGTGGTGGGTTGTTCAATCGGGGTGGGGGTTTCCTTGCTGGTAGTGGACGGGGCATAGGAAGGCGTCGCAGATGCCAGACTCGAGGACTCCTTGGTGGAAGTAATCAAGGGGATCGAAGAGGCAGGGCCGGAAATGGAGGTATACATAGACGCAGAGCTGGTGCCAGCGGCAGAACCGGAGACGGATCCAGAAGCAGTCGTAGGGAAAAGCCCAGCGGAACCAGAAGCAGATCCGGACACAGATCCAGACGCAGAGCCAGGAGCCGATGTAGGAATAACACCTGCAGAACCCGAAAGGGACCCAGACGCCGACGTAGGGAAAAGTCCTGCAGATCCAGATACAGACCCAGACACCGATGTAGGAATAACACCTGCAGATCCAGAGGCGGAGCCGGAAGCCAACGAGGATGCTGATTCAGAAGTGGTTCCAAAAAGACCTGTCGAGGCAGATCCTGAGACGGAAGCTGAAGCAGATTCAGTCGAAGTAGGCATGATGATAATGCCACCACTGACGACAGGAGTCGAGGCGCCTGCAGCGGAACTCTGGGTTCCGCTGGAAGCTCCAGGAATCAGAGCCGTGGAAGTGGCCGAGATACCTAGACTGATGCCCGAAGGTTCCAAGGATGCGCCTGAGGATGTGCCTAATAGGCCAGGAACGATGTTGACAGATCCAGAAGAGGAGGAGGCAGGCGTAACCACAGGAACACTAACCGAGATGGTAGGGAGGCTCAGAGGGAAAGCACTGGAGTCGGCAGACTCACTTGCACTCTTGCTTGTAGCAGAGGCGGATCCGGTGGAAGTGGTGCTAGTAGGAAAGAGGTCTGAGAGGAAACCGAGCACTCCACCTGACGATGCGGGGGCGGAAGAAGAAGAGGTCACGTCTTCAGAGGCAGATGGGATGAGGCTCGAGGACACTGACCCAGTAGCCTGGGTGGCTGCGCCTGACGAGGTGGCCTGGACAGTTGTCACCTGGCTCGAGGAGCTCTGAGTTGACGACTCAGACTTCGAAGTGGACTCCGCCAGAGGGACTTGAGCGGAAGAACTCTGGGCAGATGTGCTCTGGCTGGTGATAAGTTGACTCGAAGTCTCTGCCTTCGAGCTAGCAGTGGCAGATTCCGATTTCGACGCCTCGGCCGAAGACTCCGCAGTGGAAGCTGGAGTCGAAGAAGCTGGGCTGGAAGAGCTCTGAGTAGTCGAGTCCTTAGCCGTAGAACTTTCCGAGGTGGTCGAGCCATCGCTTGTAGAACTCTTGCTTGTGGTAACATCTACGACGACGCCAGCAGAGCTCGAAGCGGGAGCGGGTGTCGCAGAGCTGGACTCGGCTGAGGACGCGGTAGGGCTGGCCGTGGTGGAGGCTGCGCTAGTGCTCGTAGAAGATCCCAAGATACTTGAAATGAAGCTCTCCCAGGACTCAGCCAACGAACTCTGGCTCGATGTAGTGGCTGCTGCTGCTGCCGCTGCTGCCGACGAAGGTGTCTCAGCTTCTGCTGCCGATGAAGAACGAGTCTCTGGTTTCGCTGACGATTCAGACGCAGAAGTGTGCTTCTCGGATTCGGACGTAGACGTATGCTTGTCCGAGTCACTGGTGGTTGAGTCCTTGTCGGATGTAGTCGCGCTCGCCGTCGAAGTGGCAGCTGCCGCCGCCGGAGTACTCGCCGCACGCTCAATAGTAGAGCTAGTTGTCGTTGAAGCACCGGGAACAAACGGTGCTGTGCCCACAATAGTATGCGTAACACCATTGGCGTCCACGGAAATGGTCACAGGGACAACAATAACAGCAGGTGAAGGGTCAACGATCGGGCTTGTTTGTTCATTGTCCGAAGTGGGCGCCGACTCATGCGTACTGGTTTCGGACCTGGTGGTCAACTCGATAGGCGTAACAGGCTGGGAGGAAACAAGGGCCGCGGAGCTAACCTCTCGCGCTCCCAAATCCCGTATCTGTCCTGCCTCTCGAGCTGCGACGAGCTCGAGGCCGCCGAAGGACAAGAACGCGGCCAACAACGAAGTCGTGGGCGCAATCATATTGATTCGAATGGTTGAATAACAATAGCAGGCGATAAAGAGTGGTCAGGTGGTCGAAAAGACCGTAACAATGCTGAAATGAATGGACAGAGCGAAGGCTCAGATGGGAACCTCCAAAACCAAATATCCCAAGGCACGAAGTATTCAAACGTCAAGGATCAAAGCTAGTCGTCGAAATTGCTGATGCATGGGGTCGGTGGTTGGAATTCGGATAGACTAACCCCCGGGGCTATATAGATGTCCTGTTCCCGGTGTTTTCGTGTGTCCACCTCTCCACGATTTGAACCAGTCGAAGCGAACGTATCTCAATCGGAGGATGGCGCGAGCGATGGCGATATTCCGAATCGATCGACGGCTGGGGATGCAATGATAACGATCGGTAAGCTTCCTGGTATATTGAGTCGAACCGAACAACAACCAGAAATGAGGCAGAGATCGCAAAATTAGATCACCAAAAAATTTCCCGAATCAAATGTATCGATAGCGACAAGCTCTAGCAGCGCACTGACAGCTGACGGATGGATGTGCGCGCACCAACGGCGGGAGTTCGGTATAAACAAAGCGGGTTCAAAGAGCGGCAGGGGGGCGTGGTCGATGAGAAACCAACAGCAACCCCTCACGAAAACTACCAGCAAACAAAACAATAACGAGTGTAGAGGCGGTAAGGAGCGAGTGACAAGATCTAAGAAAGGGATGTTAAGTGAGAAAAACGGCCGTGGAGAGGGGGGGGGAGGTGGAGGTGGTAGTGGTAGTGGTAGTGGTGGAGGGGGGTGGGTTGTTATGGTGAACGGCGGTTGGAGGTGGTGGTAGTACCTGGAGAGGGCGCGACCGTGGGAGGGGGATGGGATGCAAGGAGAGAAAGGCTGAGGGTGAATTGGCAAGTCCCAACGGCTCGTTGACGTAGAAAAGGTGTTCGCAGGTGGGCTACGTCAACGAAGCACCGGCGCTGGCGAAGCAAAAACGGGGCGAAGAGAGGGGGAAGAGGAAGAAGGAGGAGGAGGAGGGAGGGAAAGGATGGTAGTAAAGAATGAAAAGAAAGATAGGCGATGCAAAGTGAAGAAGCAGAAGCAGAATAAAAATAAGAATAATAATACCAAAGGAAGGACGGGAAAAATCAAAAAAGGTGGTAGTAATAGGAACAGTAATAATAACAACAGCACTAAAATGAATGAAAGGAGAGTGAGAGGGAAGGGGAGATTACTTTCTGGCTGGCGGTTTAGTTTAGTTTGGCTTAGTTAGTTGGTGTGCCGGTCCGTGTCATCGCCTTTTTTTGGTGAATTTGATTATTTTGGGATTTTGGGACCCGGATTTTTACATTTTGACTTTACTTTACTTTCCTTAGCTCTTACCACCACTGGATTTCCGGGTTGGGCTGTGGGATTTGTGGTTTGGTACCACTGGAAAAAAGGGGGGGAGGAGGGAAGGGAAGGGAAGGGAAAAGGCACGGCAGGGGAAAAACGAGGCACACCAAGCACAGAGGGGGGAAGAGGTGGGTTTGGGAAGGAAACACGCGGGAAAAGAAAAGGAAAAGGCCGTGGCTACAATGCCAGCCACCCCATGACAAGGCAATTAACCACACGCACCGGGTAGAAAGGTGGGCCCCCTTCTTCGTCCCACCTTCTTGCCGTACGGTATTGTACCTTGGTTGCCGTATCTTCACCTCGCATCCTCATTAGCCCAATTGCACATTTGCTCAGTTAACTGACGACAATGCCCGCAACAACCTGGGGTTGAGCATGTTCTAGGTCTTTGCTATTCAATGCTAGAATTGCTGTCGTTGCGTGTCACAGGTTCTGGACTCTCTGCCTACACCTCATACACTGCAAGTCATTGTATCCAGGCTAGAACTTTTGTATGGGTGTATTTTACTAATGGCCGAATGAATGAATGGATAGTATGGATGGATGGACAGTGTGTGCGTGTGTGGCCGGAGGAACGTCCCAATGGAGAAGGCATGTACCCATGCCGCGCTGGTCGAAATTCCCCCCATCAAAATGGCACACTAAATACCAAACGATCAATAGTATACGGAGAAGAGAGCTTATTTGGGTGCAGACCATGGCTGCGCTCCGTCTATAGTGCAGTATCTATCTACAACGGCGCATATAAAGACCAAACCCGAGCTCGCTACCGCAGGAACTATTGAGAACACCCTCACTCCGAGTGGTTCAGGCCATAGATCGCATGATATGCAGTGGACAAAACTATTCTTTGGGAGGTCTAGACGTTGAAAGAGGGGTAGCATGGTGTATTTCGATCGACATACTAGGGTCTCGTCAACCGAACAGATATGGAGCACAAGGTGTCTATCAGGTATCTCCTCTTCACAGATCGGGTACTCCTCCGTGCACCTGTGCAGTGTAAAGGAGAACAGGGTAGGGTATATTGTAGGCTGTGGGCTGTGGGCTGTCATATGCCCTGGGTGTTTGCTCGAGGCTGGGTTGTTGCCGCAGCATGCAGACGGTGCATAGAGTCAGAAAGACGACACAGCCTGGCAGTTGCACTTGTAGCTCACGGAGCCAGTGTACGATTGGCGAGATGTTAACAAGGTGTCCAGTCATTCCGGGATGTCGCATGAGAATGGCCAGGAAAATTAAATCTATCAAAGTCGGCTCGTATGGGGAGATAATGATCGCGGCCTAAGGAATGGGGAAAATTGATGCTTAATCTTGAGAATGGATCCTCAAATTTCAGGCATGTAACGGAGGATTCAAGGACACTTTACTCACTGACTTACCTGGACAGGTCGCACAGCGTAAAGTGGCCGGTGACGGTGGCCAGGGACAATTGCCGATCAGCAGTGGTACGGCGCGCATCGTAATTCCCGCCTCGCACGCCAGCCTCTTCTGCAAAGGGCATAATTCCGTCAAGGTTCGGACCACCACAAGGCCTAGACTGACGGCGTCGTTTTAGTGTGGGTGGTTCCTGGATGGATGTGGGGATAGCCCCGGTGCGTGGTGATACGGGCACCAAACTGAACTGCTGCAGCCTGCTTGACGGGCCGGCAACTGAGCAAAAAACAACACCAGGCAAGGATCATCAAAAGAGAGAGAAAATCGCATGGCTTGGTTCGGTTCGCACAGGCGAACAAAAGGGTTTCCCTTTCTCGTAACTTGAATCGGAGGAATGTGATAAGCATGGGGTTATGCACCTGCCAGCCAAGATTATGCGGTCGGGTGCATTTCCTCCTCCTTGAGAAGAAGTATTCAAGCAGTGTTTCCTCTCTGCCTAACATTACAGCCAGCAAAGAAACGAAAAGGCAGAAAAAAAAAAAAAAGTAAGATTATCGATGCCCCTTCCCCTCCCGCCCGCCGGGTTGAGTCAGTCACAATGGTCATCCACCCCCGGCTGTCTCACCATCCCTTCTTTGCCCAGAAGTATCCAATACCAGCTGTGCCTCGTACGGAGCCACTACGTATGCACACCAGTCCCATCCATTCTACCGGTATGCAGCAGGCCTTACGATCCAATATTAACCAATATGAGAAACCTGTCAAGCTCCATGACATGAGTTATGTGATGTGCTAAAATGCAGGTAGCACTGCATCATCCAGAATTCTAGTTGCTGCCTCCAGGACAATCTTCTTCTTCCATTCAGAAGCTAGTGGCGGACACTATTGACCTCAGGTCCTTTCGAGAACGTGCTCCATTCCGTTAGTCCTGGGCTAATTTCTTAGCCTACACCCGAAGGATGGGAGGGGGGCTGCTCGACACTCAGACTCCAGCAAGACCCAGCCCGGGTATCACTGAGCGAAGAAGACGATGGAAAGGCATGTTCATGTCTTACACCACGTGCATGCCCAGCGGCGCCAACCGTCGCCAGCAGGGAAAATAAAAAGTTATACTCTCTTTTTGCTTAGCCCGCCAGTCGGTGCTATTTGACAGGGCGGCAATCATCGATCTTTTTTGCCCTGACATGACTGGAATGTCAGAAATGCAAGAGAGTCGCTCACTGTTCACAGCCCCTGCTGGGGCCGCCGTCAGGGCTGAAACAATGGCTCTTTCCATCCCTTCGGTCTCAGAATTGCCACGAACAGAGTCGTACAAAATTCCACAGATCGCGTATTGGCTGAGACTCTTGGTACTACCGAAGACCAGCACAGTCAGAAAGGATTTGCAGGAGCGCCCCATGGTCATTGCTTCTTCGAGTGTTGGATCTCACGAAGAGCATGGCCTGGGGCGATGTGCCACTCTAGAAGGTTGCCGGTCAGAACCGCTTCATCAGCATACGCAGATCGGAAAAGTCAAAGCTTCGATGAGACCCAAGTCCAGATGGGTTCCTCTGTAATATCTACTTGGGGGGTTGGATCGTCGTGCGCCTGAGATGAGTACAGACAGTAGACATTTTGGTGATACTACTAAGGAAGCTAAGTCAGTGGTAGCACCTACGGAAATCCGTCCGTCCAGCAGTGGCACCATTGTTCGCGTTGCTATTTTAATCTCGTAGGCTGAGTCCGTTCAAAGATCATCTCTGAGTCTAAGCCTTGGACGGACGTAAGACCATACACTGACCATTGTTACTAGGCCATTGTATCTTGAGGACTTCAACAGAGAGGCCCATCACCCATATCTCTATCCTGATCCTATTATATCATATGCTAAATGCGACTAGTTCTAGGAACGGGGGATATGACCCTGAATCTCATGAACCATGGACAAAAGTTGCCAACGATCCAAGGACTGGGAAATTACTTCAAACAGACACTAAGCCTGTTCCTGACTGCTGCCCCACCGTGGCCCTTGGTTCCATTGGCTAGTTGTCGGCTCTTGGCGCGTGCATTACCCCCATGCGGACTAGCCTCGCCCATTTTGAGGCCTGCGATTTCCTCCCACTCCGGCAGATCCAATCCTGGAGACAATCAGGATGTTCGGATCAGAGCCTGAAAAAACGTCGATCGGTTCAGGAATTGCAATGAACTATCCCTGAGTTGCTCCAACTGCAAATCCTGACGGTTCAGCTTCCTACAAGCTCCTACGAAAGGCCTCTCTGAGATGGAGAACTATGCTAATAATAGCGGATCGGTTCTTCCTTGCCATGACCCATTGGAGACTGAATCTGTGCTTTTACCGACCCAGCCGATCTGAGACACAATGGTTCGCTTAGACACAATAGAGGATCCTGCATAGAGCACGGAGGATGGAGTACTTTGTAGCACTAATGATCTTCTAGCATTAGCTATTTGAGCTGCATCCGACAGCCGGCGTGGCATTAGACATAACTAAGCCCAGCTGCCACTTGAATCCATGCATAAAGTCACCATTGGCATTCCGATTCCTACACGTTAGAAACCGGGCCGGTCGACGGATAGACTATTCACACCAGGCTCGCCGGTCTATCCGTTGCACCCAGCCGAGACGCAAAGTATATGCACATAAGCAGTGTCTATCTGCATTTGTCCAGTTATGTACTTGCATAGCATCACAGTGGTATTAAGGAACCTGCATTGCTTGCTTCTCACAGACGAGAACCTCGACTCGGCACACCTCTCACCACCCCAACACACTCAATCTCCACATCAGTCCCCATTGGCAATGTCTTGACCGCAACGCATGTACGAGCCTAGGTTCATGAGTAAGTATGCGACTCCGACGGAAGGGAAACAGACGGATCGCACCGGTAACGGATCCTCGAAAAAAGCAGCATAAACTTCATTGACAGCGGCAAAGTCATTCATATCAGCAAGGAATATGTTCATTTTCACGGCATCCTGGAGACTAGAACCGCCTGCTTCAAGGACGGCACCTAGGTTGTTGAGGATTTGTTTCTGGACTCCGTTAGTTGGGCAGCCTTACAATACTCTCTATTCCGTGGAAATGGGGTTATTTATGTAATGAGGAATCTCGTACCGTTCTTTCTTGGATTGAGCCCTCAACCATTTTGCCTGTAGCTGGGTTCACGCCCACCTGCCCGGAGCAGAAGACCATGTCGCCGACGACGATGCCCTGGGAGAGGAATGGCGGTGGGAGAGGGGCCTTTTGGGTACGGATTGGAATCCGGGTTGCTTTGGACATCGTGAATCTGGTAGATGCTGCAGTTTTCTGTTTCTGGCAATCAAGATGACATACAATGTTTCTTCAAAAGCCAGTGATGCTTCGAAAGATATATATACCTGGGGAAGGGCGGAGGTTGATGATAAGCGGGGAAGTTGGAGGAGTCGCGCTTATCAAGAGTTGCGACCCACCGAGATGTGACTAAGAATGTTGGCGATAGTTAATGAGGAGATCATGCCCACCACTGAGATAATATACTGTGACTATCACAGATTATGGATATAGATTCTTCAGGTGTATGATACTACAACATTACTAGGCTAATTCAGTTTGAAAAAGTTGTTTCATGGATCTGGCAGTATCAACCGGTTGGAGACCGCTATACTAACTGTGCCACAACTATATATCTCTCTACAAACATGGATGATGATACTTGCTCTCTTAGAACAACATCTGCACCATCCATCACAACTAGTATTCTACGCTAAGTACATCATGCAAAACGCATCTAGCCACACAATCTCACCAATATAGCTCACCTATGCAATTATAACATAACTAATTACCCCCCAAGCCAGAACACGCCCAATATCCTCCAAATGCACCTCCCACATTCACAGATCTCGTGCAATGCAACTGCCAACTTCTTCATCCTTAAACATCTGAAACGGCTCAGTATCCGCTGAATGTCTCCGCATTCGCAGAGAACACAAACGGAACACGCAGATTCACTCTCACAACACAAGATAGGCCTTGCCATGGCGACTAATCACACCAACAACTCTTATTTTGAGCACTGTCTGTGCTACAAGATGCAGAAAGGTTCCTCTCCTTCTTCTTATCCTCATATTCCTTCTCTGCGTTCGTGAACCCCGGTGATCATGGATCCCGGGGCTGTGCAGAAAAGGCTTGCCCAAGCAGCCGTGAAGCTTTACAAAGCTAGGAAGGAGCTTAAGAGGTACAAGGCCGCGAAGAAGATAGTTGAAGAACAAGAAGCGGAAGCAGCCGAAAAAGCAGAGACTACCGAGTATATCAGGCGGCCAACCTTCTCCATCCTGGAAACCATTCTCGAGGTTTCAGAGGTAAAGACAGTTGATATCGAAGTCCACGGCATGAAAGCCAAGTTTTATCTAAGCCGTCCCGACGAAGACATCGTGCCTCTGCGGTACCTTAAGAAAGCAGACACTGACAGTGAGCCTATATCCCCATTCAAGCGCATTCGACACTATCCATCTTATGGAGGAGGCGAATCAAGTCTGAAGGAACAAGACTAACTCAGAACTAGAGATCGTCCATCGCGCAGTATGGATCTTCAGCAAAACCAAGGATGGACGTCAAGTCAATCAAGATAAATGGCCTACCCTCGAGACCATTTTCTTCGATGTCTTCCATAACCTCAAGAATTCTCCTCAGTGGGATAAGGCACTTTTTGATGACGATAAAGGAAGTACTGCCACCTGTCCACCAAACTCTGATTTCAGACTGGCACGCTTCAACCAGGACAACGTACTTCATGCTCTTATATCCGAGCTATTTTTCAATGTGGATGTCATGCACCCAACCTCCAAGCCTATGCTCTGGTTTCACCTCCAGTACGTAACAAACATCAACCCTGAAAGACCCTATACAACCACCATCCACTAACGCATCATCCTCTTCTAACCAGTCCGAAAGTCATGGGAGAAACTCTAGAGTATTGGACCGGATACAAAGAGAAACGTCATGACGGACCTTGTTCCTCCGGCCGGATTGTCGTCGAATACTACCCGGACGCCATGTTCGCACGCACCGTTCTGCCAGTCGCAACTGTATAATCTCCCCCCAATCCTCCCCTGAAAGACCAATCCACTAACAAAAACCCCACAGACTCTAACCGACAACCAACCTCTCGACAAAGCCCTATGCCAAAACTTCCAACTGCACCTCGGTCAACTCCTGACCAACCTCCACCACCTCCACATCAACAAATACTGCCTTCCAGACCAAGAAGTCTTCCTCATCAACCTCCACGGAAGCAGACTTCACGTCCAACGGGCCATTTTCCCAAGTCCTAAGATCTCCCGGATCTACTGCAAAAAATACAAACCCGCCGATGCCAAAAGTGAACTGCACACCTTCCGGGCTGGAGACACCACCCGCCGCTACACTGAGCAAGATCTGGAATATGATATCGATCAACTCGACTGGCTGCACACCCTCCGAGAAGACAATAATGAGGCTCCGGACGAAGAAGATAAGCCCGTGATCCGCGTGCTCGCGAGCCAGGAATATGATCTTTGGACCAAGAGCGGCTGGCATGCGGCGTTGAAGTTGTTGGCTGGCTTGAATCGTTATTTGATGGGGGGCCGCGCCAAGTGCGGTGTCATGCAGAACATGTTCGAGAAGTTTCCGATTGATGAGTCTCCTAAAGAGTCGTCTGCGGCCAAGAGCTGAGGGATGAATGGTGGCTGTGGTGGGATGATGCTCGGTGTTAATCTTTGTCTTTCCAATTTTCTTTCTTTCGGTACTCTTTCTTCCTTCATACGTTGCCTTTGCTTGCTCGTTGCTTTCATCTTTCTTTCACATTCTACCCATACGAAATTGATGTTACGCATAGCGGGACAATGGCGTTAATGGAGCAGATAGCGTAGCTTAGTTGAATGGAGATTATGACTCTAGTTACAGAGAGGAGAAGCACTACATAGTACATACTCGTCATTTCCATGGCGAAAACCAGCACAAATAATCATACAAGCTTGTGCGAAAACAGCCTATTTCAGTCTCCATGGCGCCGCTCAGACTCAAAGGCCGTAAAAGCATCGATACCCCGACCATCCTGTCCTCCCGTGCGGAAGTATTCTACTACAACACTTATGGCGTAGCATGTCCCCGCAGTAGCCACGCCACTGAACAGCATCCTGCGCAAAGCTTGGCCAACTCTGGATTGGCCTTTCGAAGAAGAGGAAGAAGATCCTTGAGCTTGCGAAGTCCCGTCTGACAATTGGGCCTCATGATCAGGAGCTTGGCTGGAGATATGCTCCTGCGACAGCTGGATAGGTGATGTAGACTGTTTCAGAGCTCCGTTGTTCTGGCCGTCAGGGCTTGTTTCGATCTTGTCTGCGGCCTTAGAAGGGGCGTTGTCATGTACAGAACTGCTGGCTTTCCTGAATACAAGAATATCTCCACCACCGGACACAATCTCGTAGCCATCGGTACGCATTCTTGCAAAATGGGGCAGGAATTTGGCAGGGGCGTTCAGGCGACCTAGAATTTCTGCCGGGTGAATGGTCTCGTCTGAAGCATGAAAAGATGAGCTTGTCTCCGCTTCGTTTACTTGAAGGGTTGAGGGATCGTAGGCAAGGACTCGATAGGTTTCAGTTGATGGGCTGTCAGCGAGCGGCTGCTCAATGGTAGCAGTCTGATCGAAGCGTTGGGCAGATCCCTGCTCTCTGGCCTGGAGTACCTGGGAAGGTTCTCGACTTTCTGCAGTTTGTTGATCGTGCTGTACACCAATATCTGATACCTCTGGCCTGTCTGCGCCTACAGTCTCATGCTTTTGAAACTTGCTTCGAACGCTTTGAGCATCGATGTCACCAGCTGGATCGACAAATGAATCGAACCTATCGTCCAGAGATTGGCGAATTTGCTTTTCAATCTCAGGGTCAATACTGGGCCTGGCCAAGTAATGGGAACGGATATCACTAGCACTGAGGATATCTAGATCCTCGTCCCTCTCAGCTTGCACCCTTTCCTGTTCCTGTGCTGTACTTAAAGTGCTTCCAGGCGCATCTGGAGGTCTCATCAAGACCTCATGGCTTTGCTGGTCTCCAAACGGGCGGCTATTGACTGGTGCTTCTAGGTGATCATAGGTGCCGCCATTAGTGTATTCTCCTTGAGGCTTAGGTTGATCGGCCATGATCGCTTCTGAGAGACCGCTGACTTTCTCAGCAACATCTCTCTGGTCTTTCAAAGCATCGATTGATGGCTCCAAAGCTTTGTAGCGAGCTTCTGTTGGTGGATCCGATTTCAGTACCTCAGGAGCTTGGTAGGGTTCATCCGCGACTGGCACCGCCTCAACACCTTGATGCGATCTTTCTTCTGCCCTTTCATTTCCTGATACTGTCGCCGACTTAGATTCTATGGCTGATCTTTCAAAGGGCGATAGATAGCCAGTAGGTCCAGAATGAGGCTTTTGGCTCCCGACCGATGCATCAATATCGCTTCCACGAAAACCCTCCTCTGTAGCGACGGGCTGCTCAGTGCTTTTGGGTATCATACGGCCACTAACTGGGTCGAATTCGTAGCTTGGTCGATTCATCCCTGATACAACCTCGTCTGAAGATGGAACCCCACCACCCATCTTTGAATTTGGCTTCTTGGGTGATTCCGAAGAGTCCTTCGAGGCCGCAGCAGTGGCCTTCGGACGTGCTGTCGTATCCATGGTACTTTCCGACTTGCCGAGACCTAGAAATGAACGACAGAGCGAGGTAAATGCGTTATCGAGCTTCTCAAATGAGCTGAATGGCTGTAGCCTTCTTCCGAACAGTGCTGCGTATGGATCATTATCAATCTCTCTCTTGATCTGGTCCATTCTGTCCTTGATGCGGGACCTTTCGGCTTCCCAAAAATCACCCTTGATACCACTTCGATGGTCAAATTGAAAAGGTTTATCTCGATAATAGCCCGGTCCGAAACCTCGAAACCACCACGGATGATGACTTTCGTACACGTTCGCTTTCCGCGGGCGTGCGGGCTTTTCACGAAGCTTCGACAGGCAATATCGTCGGTGTCTATCCATCTGCTTTTCCAGATAGTCGTAGTTTATTCTCTCGCCTGGACCCCGCCATAAGTGACGGCGTTGGTAGGAGGACCTTAGAAGTCGTGATGATGCGAAAAGTACGGCTCGAGAGTGAGTTACGGACCGTTTGACGGCCCTGATATCTGAAACTGCACTCGGGTAGACCATGGTTGAGGTTCGCAAGGGCCCTGCCTGAAGTATATAAGCTAGAATGAAAGGACGCTTAGCAGGGGGCGATGAAGCTCTTCGACCACGACGTCAGACCGGATTCGGACGGCCACAGGAGCTGTCTTCGGTTACATCACAGGGAACGATTAGTGGTTGGGAGGGCCGCTACAAGGACAGTAACCACAGACTAAGACTTTTACCTGAGAGACAACTAATAGAATTATTGGAAAGCGAGCTAGAAATACTGACGAACGAAGCATGAGTGTGAGCTGGAAGTGCAAGGGAGAGAGAGAGTTGGCAGCTGATAAGGCGGCGAGAGCTCCGATAAGCCAATCACGGGGCAAACGCGGGGTTGTCGGTCTGTATTCATGCCTCAGGCATTAAAAACAGGTAGATCATTATATAGTGGATTTCTTATTCAAAATGCCCGTCATCTCTATATATCACGGTTGTCTATGCTAACTTTTGCAAGTCCTAGATCATCCACTTCCTGCTGGCCTGGGTCAGATGCAATATAATTGAACCAAAACCGTAGCCCCTCAATACCCTGTTCTCTGCAAAGAACACCCTTGTCCTCTGCCATCTCCAACTCCTCTGCTGCAACGCCTACACTCCATTTGAATCGCTGTGCCGCCTCCTGTGCGGTCACGGCACGTCCAAACAGACGCCAGTCCCAGGCTACCGGTTCCGTGGGTGGCACCTGACGGAGCTCTGCCATCCAGTCTAGCAGCTGCTGAAGGGTCTTCTCATCAGTCCAGTCGTATCGCTGAACAACGAGCAGTCCACTCTTGAAACGTCGCAGACGGACTGGCAACTTCAATTTCTCCCATAGCTCTGCAGCCTTCTGGAAGTCCGAAGGACTGACGAGCTCGACCCCGTTCCGGGATCGGTTGAAGATTGCCCACAAGTCGATAAGACTGATAATCCCGCCTTCCTTCTGTAGTATGCCCTTACGATCATCGGTAAGATATTCGGCCAGATTCCGGGACAACTCCGACAGATATAGGCTCTCCGCCCCGGAACCGAGCATATCTTTCGTCGTCACCATACCCAACGCCGCCGCCGATTCTGAAAGGACTGCGCTGGTTTCAGCGGAGCTTTCGTCACTAGCCATCCCCGACTCGCGGGCTAGCGTCTCAGCAAGCGCAACAATGTGTTTGGCAGATGCCATAAGAGCCTCGAGATCCTCGAAAGCATTGCCAATGACGAGCTCATTGTTCTTACGAGCCTCAAGGCCTCGTCGCTCAAGGCCCGCAATGCCAACTCCCGGTGAGCGGGGTAGGGATGCTCCAGGGCCGTTCGGTGTTGTAGGCACGGCCAAGCCTTGTACTTCAGAGCTTGATTGCGATGGTTGCTGTGGCACAGGCGGAGCATTGTAGAGCAGCCATTTCCTCTGAATCAAGGCGCCCTTCAATCTCTCATGAAATATCTTTTCGCCGCCTCCACGGAAAGACAATTTCATGCTATCCTTGATTTGCTTGCTCTTTATATTACCCTGGTCAAAAACAGGGGCTGGGGATTCTGCACGGTAGTGATCGCCATTGGTGACCTTAAGAATATTTGAAGAGACCAAGGAAGCTCCACACATCTCACATTCAATGAGTGACGGGTGGTTGACAAATGTGCAGCGAGGACATGACACTTGGGCGCCATTTTGTGGAGCTATTAGGTTCTTGGAGTTATTACTCTCAAGCGAGGATTCGTGCCCGGGTTGAGAGGTGGGTGGTGTCGCCACAGAGCTCTCACGACTGGTTGCAGCAGTAATTGCAGCCTTGAGAATCGTTGCGAAAGGGGGTTTGATACCACATGCTAGACAAGGAGGTATAGGCGTGGACGCGGTAGCGGTGGACGGGTCGAAATTGGAAGGCACGGGATTGGAGAAGCTGCATATAGGACATACCCATGTCGCATTCACAGGTGGAGGAAGCCCCGCGCTAGGATGGTGCACAGACTTTGGGGTCAGAGGTGACTGCGATCGAGAGGGACTTGCGCCAGCGCTTTTCGACCGGTCGATGTTCTTCAGTGGCTTAGGATACAACGTGATCTTTGGAGAGGACTTCCAGAAGCTTGCCTAAAATAATTTAGATTTCAGGTCGATATGCATGATTAGACTAGAACGTACTTGATACTCTGTTCTATCGATATCCTTGAGGTCAATGCCAACTGAGTATTTCCGTGGCTCATCAACTGCTACATAACAGACACGATGCGAGGTCAGATAGGCATGGCCATTCTGATAATTGGGGATTTTATATTTTCTGATCATGCAAGAGACATTAGAAGTCAGCAATTGAGAAGATATATACTGAGTCACTAAGGCTCGGTTCCAGAAAAAGTGTAATGGACCCAAGCATGGCGAGACCACCGATGCAGCAGGTGAAGTAATAACCGGCTACTCACCCTTCGTACAACCCCACCGCATCCTGGACAAAGAGTAAGGTCTCGTCGGGCAACAGCGAGGGGCGAAGCGCAGTTGTCAGATCCAAAGGCTTGAAGAACATCTAGTAAAACCAAGCAGCATCTCTTCACGATGGAGAGGGTGAAGAGGGGCAGAGTATACGAAAGCGAGATGCCTTGGCGCTGGTTGTATTGCTCGTTATCAGTCAGATCGAGGTGCTGATGTAATATTTCCATATATAGTAGGCGGTAGGCTGTCTCCATGCCAAGACGAAATCTCCGCCACCGAGACAGGTCAAGTGGGATCCAAGCGTCAACTAAGCGAGTCTCCCTCTCTCTCCGCTCATTATCGTTATTCTCTCACCCCAAAGCCTGGAGAACGAACCCCTGTGGATACTTGCATATCATCTTGTCTCTTGTCCCCTTAGAAACAGACCGACCGATCTCACTTTTCTCTTACATTCAGTGATACCTACTCGGCTCTGTTGGTGTAGGAATATGTTCTGACTGGCCCGAAACAAATCATCCGTAGTTAATACCTCTCTTTTCTGATTATCATCACTCTTCGCATTTCTTTATTGTCTCTTTTTGCACTGGTCCTTAATTTAGATCATCATTTCTTCATCATGAGCTCCGGCATCCCACCGTGGCGTGTTGCGGCTTCAGCCACCGCTACCACCTCAATTCACTCTGGCCATGGTATGCTTCTCTTCCCGCGCGTGATCTTTGTTCAGACTTGACTAACGTGGCAGTAGTGGCCCCAGCTTATATCCCAGTGCAAGCACGCCGTAGTATCGCGCCCACAAAAGCCACGAACCCCGGTCCTTCACCTACAACCCCGACGACGTCTACCGATGCCGCCACCCGCAAACGAGTAGAATTCCCAGAAGCTGTCCGCAAATATGTGCAACGCAGCTTTGCGCCCGAAAACCGCCTTTCCGGGGTCGAACGGAGTGAGATGGAGGCGAAACTCAAGTCGGTCATCACAGAGGCAGCAGAGGGTAACATGCTTGACAAGATCGACTGGGAAACCCTGCCTCTGCCGCAGGTCATGGTTCAAAATGACCGCAATAGGGTGCTCGCCAGCCCGGGTGTCTCGACTTGGGCCGCATTTGGGACACTTTCGCCGAAGAAGTCTAGCACCCCATTGGTCGACCTATCGAAAAAGAGGAAATCGGTGGAGTACCACGGAGACGCGAGCAGCTGTCCACCATGGAGACAAACTAACAACCAGAATGCCTTTGAAGACCGAGTCACTTATCCTTCCACAGACAAGCGGCAGAAGATGGACAGTAAGAACCCAAGTAAGTCAAAAGCTAATCTGGAGATGCGGAGGAAACGTTTCGAGGACGCACAAGGACGACATGGATCTTCACCCTCTTCCCGCGGTGCATCACCGACCCCCAATGCAAACCAAGGCCCTGTTGTCGGAAGGTGCCAGGAGCTCGAGAAGAATTACTTCCGCCTGACTTCTGCACCGAATCCGGATACCGTCCGTCCCTTGCCGGTCTTGATGAAAACATTAGACCTACTGAAGAAGAAATGGAAAAAGGACAACAACTATGGCTATATTTGTGACCAGTTCAAATCCCTCCGTCAAGATTTGACTGTGCAGCATATCAGGAACGAATTCACTGTCAGCGTCTATGAAATCCATGCCCGGATTGCCCTAGAGAAAGGTGACCTTGGTGAGTATAATCAGTGCCAGACTCAGCTACGAGCGTTGTACGCACAGCAACTTGGCGGTCATCCTACGGAGTTCAAGGCCTATCGTATCCTCTACTTCATCCATACCCGCAACTGGACGGCCATGAACGATGCCTTGGCCGATCTAACTGCAGCAGACAAACGGGATCTTGCTGTGAAACATGCGTTGGATGTCCGTTCCGCTCTTGCTCTTGGGAACTATCACCGTTTCTTCCAGCTTTATCTCGATACCCCGAATATGGGTGCTTATCTAATGGACATGTTCGTGGATCGTGAGCGACTTTCTGCACTCGCAGCAATTTGTAAAGCGTAAGTATTTGTGCAGACTATACATGTGACGCCCGCTAACTTTGGCAACACAGATACAAACCCGATGTAAACATCCGTTTTATTACTGAAGAACTTGGTTTCGAGTCCGACGAGCAGAGCGCACGCTTTATTTTGGACCATACTTCGGAGGACCTCCTCCAAGAGAAAGATGGCGTGGTGAGACTGCTTACGGGTGGCAGGGCCGGCCAACTTTTCGAAGGAGCCAAGGCCGAGGCCCACCGAATTGTCGATATCAAGGGACAGATCTAAGTTCTGTATCTCTCGCTCTTACTTTCTTTTTCTTTCCTCTTTGCAACCTGCGGTTTCACTTTCACCTTCCGACTCCCTCTTCACCATTCTGGATATTTCTAGCACACCCTAGCTTTCCCTATTCTGTTCGTTTCTTCAGGGCGCTTGGAGTTCTGTTCATTCTGTTTCCTTGCTCCCGGCATTAGAGGCGTCCTGCATTAACCGCTTGCGATCTATACCCATTTTGGCTTGAGGAGGATTGGTTGTACACAGAATAAAAAGTCGATGGATGGAAGGCAGAAGTGGGTATAAGGGAAGGCGTGTAACGTTTGTCTGATAATATTTCGGTAGCGCAGCTTCAATACAATGATCATTGTGAATTTCAAAACATATCAAGTATGGGCAGCAGCCCATTGGACCCACCACGGCGACAAATGATACATAGTCTGTCTATCCAGTAGGGGATCAGAAACCGTCATTCATTATTACCATACCCAGTGCGCGAATTTCATCCCCTCTTAACCTTATAACCTCCCCTCAATCCAATAGCATCATACCACTACCTTAAACATCAGACACATCCATCCATCCAAACATTATGTATCCAACAGGACACACCACCCCAATCGACCCACAATGAGGGGTAAGCCAAAGAGTCGAGAAGTAGATACCCCGCAATTCATCAACAAGTGAGATGAGGTCAAGTTACATGAATAAAGCAAGTTGACCGTTAGAGGAAGATCTACAGTGATAAGTCAACAATAACCATGTATGTATCTACTATCTGTCTGTCTACCCTCGTACATACATGGCACTATGCTGAACACAGTTTAATTCATCTGACGAGTCGATCTCGATCTCCCCCCCCGTCCTAAATAGTCCCCTCCCCACCGGTCTAGACCCGTACTTTGGTTCTTCCCACTAGTACTCTCACACTAACTATACTGTAGTCGTGACTACGCATATACTTTCCAACCTAAGTAGGTCCTTAGGTACTAGATAACCGTTATCCGGTGGTGGCAAAGCTTGGAAGACAAGACAAGACGAGACGGAAATCAAACCCGACGGTGGGCGCATCTTGCGTTTCCGTTGATGATCTGCTGTAGATCGATTTCGATCATCGCGAGTCAGTGTCCCCCGGATAACGTATGAGGTACTAGTAATATTAGTTACTTACTACTACTTCCTGACTTGATTTAAACTGGAGAAGGGGAAGGGAAGGGGATGGTGCATATGACGTCTGGAGAATGATATATCAGATTTGCAGGGCGATATGGGCATCTGCACGAGGCTGAAGACGGCATATGTTTTAGGGTGGTAGGTGTTGTTGGATTCGTCGAATGAGGTTTTGTTTCATCCTCTGTTTCATGGTCTATAGTACTGTTGACTGAAACATGGTGATTATAGTTGAGTTGTAGTAGTAGTAGTACTTTTATTACGGTGGTGCGGGGTTCAGGTTGATTCGCTACACACAATAGTACATCGGATCATGATTTATGGATCGTGCTTCACATTCACATTTATGGGCTGTGTGGCACAAAGTACAATCAGCTTGTGTGTTTTAGCTCAGCTACAAAGGACTTTGTACTGCACTTAGCTGGCTGGTGGGCTCGATGGATCGATCAATTTTATCCACCCACATCCCGAGTGGCGAATGATAGATCAGTGGTGCGCTTATTCGTTCCAGCTATCTCCTTAGAAACTTCTATAGTAAGTACTTTGTGTAGTTAAGCTGCTGCAGCGTGCCTCGACTACTGTATCTAGTTAGTAAGTAGCTAGCTTTATCTCTGTCGGCTACTAACGGTAGAGGGATAGACTGAAATTCTATTGTGTGGTGTGGCGTTCACTTCAGCTTTTCCATCTCCGCATTAGTTTTCCTTCTTTTCCTTTTTCTTGTTCTTATACTCGCATATACGAGCAATAACCTTATGCGGACGGCAGTCTGGATTTAAGCCCGGTTAGGGATTTGACTGGGTGCAGTGACTGAGCTGTCTGGTCAAGTACTACTTACCTGCAAGGGTGGTGTGTCTGTGAATGTGGATGAGGTGCAGGGTGTACAAGGTTTTAAGAAGTGACTTAGGTTATGGATCTAGATGATTATGTAGTAGAGGAATTGCCTTGGAAAATCCATGTCATACTCTGCAGCTGTGGTATGCCACTGTAGGTACTGAATGAGCGAAAGATCGCGTGCATACTATATCTGCTTTCGTAGATACGAAAATGAATATTTGAGGCTGCATGTGAAGTACTTGACCTTTGAAAAATTACCAGTCCAAGGCTTAGCGCTTCGAAAGAGCTCAGTCGTCCCTTGCAGCCTCGGTCATATTGGAAGAAAAAAAGTGCGGAGATATACCTCTGCCTTGCCAACTAGCATTTGGGTTACAGTATGGTTGGGATCCAAACTAATCCATCTTGAGGCGGAACTCCGGGGGGTTCTCTTTCAGACCCGATAATCCTCCATGTAGACTAAATAGAGAAGAGACCCTTTGCCGATCCAAACAGATTGGAAATTGTGTAGCAAATGTAGAGCTGCGTTGGGTGACTGAATTGGGTAAAATCCAGGCATGCAACCATGGATGCGCTCCCAGCCTAAGTACCTTTTTTCCCCGTCCGAGCTCCTTTGCAGAGTTTCAGGCTCGGAGGTACATCGAAACGAGGAAAGTGATTGCCCAGGAGAAGGGTAAATTAGGAAATATTTAAAAATTGGGAGCAGTCCGTTCTTTTCCACTTCCCCCTTCTCCGCTTAGTAAAAATAAGATTATGAAGTCGTCCGGGTTAATTTAACTCAGCTACGATTATCGAACAAGTCTAGATACCTATAGAATTGGCTACAAACTAGTTATTTAAAACTAGTTGACACCTGAATCACCCGGCAGTTGGCAGCCCTCCGTTAATTAAAAGGAAGCGCACACAGACCACACGAGTGTGGTGTGTGGTGTGTGTGGTGGGTTGTGTGTGGATGGGCAAACTCGGTGGGAACCCACACACACCTTTTTCCTTGCCCACCCGAGCAGCCCAATGACCATTCCTGCCTTGTCCGTCGCAACTCAGGTACGCTGGACCGGGGCCACTTGTGGCCCATACACAGTACGTACTGTCTCCTGCAGAATCTGGGACACACACACAGGATGCGAGCCATGGTTGTTTGGTTTCCTAGTCTGTTCGGCTGATTCTTATCGTCTATCGATCGGGCGGGTTTCCAGCTGGACGGTGCCGGCCTTCTATACCACTCCCGGTTTAATGCGACGGGGGGAAAGGGAATGAATGGGAAGGGGGGTGGGTTCACTGCTGCCCAACTGCGCCCAGGGGGGTGAAAAGTGAAAAGGGAAGGGAAGTGAATGAACCCACTGTAGTCTAACAAACTAAAGGGAAAGGGGAAAATCATAATCAAGGAATAAAATCACCAAGTAACTAACTAACTAACAAGAAGAGGGAAAAGAGTCAGGGATGACACTACCAGCAGGGCTGGAAGCAGAAACGAACTAAGGAGTCTCAGCTAAGTATTCTAGTCCTTTAGCAGCCAACCAGGGTGGACATTGACCGTCATACCTTACGCGGTGCATCCATGCAGACGGCCGGGGAGCAGCTCCCGGTCTGCTGGTTGACTGGTGAATCGACTAAATAAAGGATTTTTAGGCACACAACCACCTGCTTTGGCGTCGAAGCTGAAGGATTTGACATTGGTGCGTGAGAAAAGGAAAATGAAAAATCTCTCAAATCTTGGGTTTGTGTGTCTGGATAGGGTGTGCTCTGTAGATTTTGGGTTTTGATTGTTGGGATTCTTTTGATTGATGTATGTATTGAGGCAGCGTTGGGTTATAATATCATTATCTTGTCTCCTTCTGAACCGCTCTTTTTTGGCTTGCATCTTTCGATATTCCTCATGGATGATTTGCCCCCATCACTATCACAATCACAATCACCTTTCAACCAAGCAGTTTGAGTTTGTCGTCATTTTCTCCGTTAGTCTAGGTTTAAAAAAAGAAAGTGAAGAAATAGACGCACTAGCTTCAAGGACCAGGCGATCCGAGCAGAAAAAAAGCCCAGCCAGCCAGTCCAACGTCTATCACGATCTGCTACGAATCGGACATTGCCTTCCTTTGTTGGTAAGTATGTGTCTTCGACCGGCTGATGAAGTATCGCGGTCTGCCTTTTTTCACTTTTTCACCACCACCTCCTTTAATCCCAGTCATCTGGTTTTATACCCGCTTATAACCCTTTTTTTGATCCTTCCTCGAGTACATTACTGCCACGAGGACAAACCAACGCCATACTAACCTCCCCCATCTCCAATTCGCAGGTCGGGAACCAACCAACCGGGACGAGGGTGCTGGAGTACCCGCCACAGTTGAACCAGCAGTTCGATTTCTCGACGGCTTCCATCCTTCACACCCCACGACGGTCCATGCCATCCGGCCACTAATCCACCCAATCCACTTATTCGCCTCTCCTTCGTCTGGGTCACAGCCACCAAGTGCTCCCGCAGAGTGGTGGTAGGAGTCAGGACGGCCCATTATTCTCCTATCGCTGTGCCTTTGACTCGACCGACTACTTACTTCTTGCCTCTCCCACCACAAACCCACCACCACCATTATCATCGTCATCATCCCCGCCAACTTACTATCGTCCGACTGCATAACCGGGTGTGTCGCAAGGAGCAGCCGCACTAACTGGTAACTCAAAGAAATAAAATATTGAATCCCTTCTGCTGGGGGGAGGGCCTTCCAGAACACTGCAACCCTGGAACCTTCCGCCGAGCTGTCACGCGTGGATCCTCGTCATTGTCCGCCCACTGAACCACTCCAGCGCACCCATCCTATTCCCATCCATCCTCAGGGGCGGGGGGAAACACCAAAAGGAAAGCGGGCCACTTTTTTTCTGTCCCAGTCGTCGCAATCCAGAACTCCCCATACCAGGCTCGTCCGTGGTAGTCCTGCTCGTTTGAGGGCGAAAAATAGGCAAAGAAAGACAAGCAGAAGTTAGGAGGCCACTGCACTGTCACACTTGTCTGGGTTACTTGCAGCCAGCGCCTAGGGAGTTACTCTAATTTTTCTTTACTATAACAACATATCGCCGCTGACAGCCGTCCGCTCTATTTCATCCATTGACACTCCCTCTTGTCCCTCTCTCCCTCCCTATCAAAACTCCAGGCTATTTGGTCTGTTACTGTCCTTTCTACTGTATCACCTCAAAACGCTCCTTCATTGTTCAGATTTAAAGTTTTTGTTTTATTATTATTTTTTTTTCCCTCACTTACCCTGTCCCCTTTTGCCTCATTCGTCTCTCATCAGCTGCTTCCCGGGATTGCCGCCCATTCTCTTATTCTTTCGATTTCTTTGTATTCCAACACATCGCATCATCGCCGACAAGAACTTCCGAGTTTACAGTGATACGCCTGGACCGGGGTGGCTGTTACGGGCATAAAGTGGATGATCAGATCTTGTCTGCTGCAGGCCTCGCTCAAACCAAACCCTACTCGTCCCCGTACTTACGTCTTGCCTTGCCTCGGCGGCTGATCTGGCGTTCCCGACCACCTGTGGGCACGGCCTGGCTAGGTTAACCTGCCTAGGGAGTATTATTCATTCATTCATTCCGACGTTCATTTATTTAGTTTCGCCGGAAGGAGAATTAGCAGACTAATAATGAAGGTACGTTGTTTCCAAGCTGGCAAAACCGCCCTGCAAGCAAAACCCCTCGTTTTCCCGCCCCTCGTTTATCTCGATTGTCGCTTGTTCCGAGCGCCCTCCCCGAAAAATTAGCACCTTGATTGATGACTTGTGGCCCTTCCTTTTTCTTTTGACTTGGAATGATCATTATTGCCGCGCGCAATCCATCGGCTCTGGACTAATCTCCAACACCGCCAATTAATTAGGCCATTCGACGCTCTCTCAAAGGGGAGAAAGATCCCAAACCCCACCACCACCACCATCTCAGTCACCATAGTCACCACCACCTTTCTATTACTCCAAAGTCCGCCATCGCCATCCTTCCGCCAAAGAAGGTGTGTTACACCCTTTCCTTTCTTTTAATTCTCCCCTTCAATTTTCTTTTTCTTCTTCTATTTCGCATTCTTCTTTTTCTTTGCAATTTTAATTTTATTTCTCCCCATCCCTCCCGATATTCAATTCTATTTTCACTCTTTCCATTTATTTGCCTTTCAAATCCCTGGTTGATCCCACCCTCCCCTCTTTCCCCCCTGCCTTTACCCCTCCTTTCTTCTATAGTCGCATCCCTAAAAAGAAACATTTTTGGGTTGTTTGTCTGTTGTAATTGATTTCCCTGCGTGTTATTCGTCCTCGTTCGCCGACATTAGTCGAGCAGCCCGTCCTTGGCAACCCGTTGTTGACCACATCCCTGTGCTGCGCGTAGGTTATCAAAGCGCTCTACGATTACCAACCGGAACCCGGGAACTCGCAGGAACTCGCCTTCAGCAAGGGAGACTTCTTTCACGTTATCAGCAGGGAGGACGATTTGGACTGGTACGAAGCGTGCAATCCGCTCATCCCTAGTGCGAGGGGGTTGGTTCCAGTGTCCTTCTTCGAAGTGATTGGCAAAAACGAGAGACACAGCGCCGGATCGGTGGATCATCATAAGAAGAAAGAGCCGCACGACTCAGGCTTCTCCGATCGAGCTGCCTTCCCAGGTACAGACTTCATCAGCAATTCCTCCCGCAATAGTTTTCAACCCAGGATGTCGCAGTTGGGGAAGGGTTCGAGCGCCATGGTCTATGGCATCGTTCAGTATGACTTCCAGGCCGAGCGACCGGACGAACTAGACGCCAAAGCTGGCGAGGCCATTATTGTTATCGCCCAGTCGAACCAGGAATGGTTTGTCGCCAAACCTATCGGTCGCCTGGGTGGCCCAGGTCTCATTCCCGTCTCCTTCCTCGAACTTCGCGATATGCAGACAGGTCAAGCGGTCACCGATCCCCTCGAAGCTGTGAGGCGTGCCGGCGTGCCGAAGGTGGAAGAATGGAAGAAGATGACGGCCGAATACAAGAACAGCAGCATCACGCTCGGCAAGATCGACTCCGCTGGTGGCTCGTCAATGCAGTCCGTCACGTCGAGCATGGACAAGATGTCTATCGGGCGTCAGAGTCAAATGAGTCAGAATGGCCAGTCTCAGGTAAGTCATCAATGTTTTCTCTTTTCCCCGCATCCGCGACTCTTTTGAGGACCGTCGCCCTAACCTTCCGTGCGATAGGGCTACCACACTCGCAATGCCAGTAAAGGTTCTCTTGTGCAACAAGTTTCGCACCAGTCGCAGCAAAGTTATCATCAGTCATTGATGGCGCCCATCGCGGCGTCTATTCCCCGGTACTGCTTCGACAACGACAAATACTGGTACATTATCGAGGCCAAAATGGAGGACGGTCGCTGCTGGGAATTGGCCCGCTACTACCACGACTTCTACGATTTCCAAATCGCACTTTTGACTCAATTTGAGGAGGAAGCGGGTAACCGTGGAAAGCCGCGCACTCTGCCGTATATGCCCGGACCAGTCACCCATGTCACGGACGCCATCTCCAACGGCCGCCGACAGAATCTGGATGAATACATCAAGAAACTCTTGGCTATGCCGCCTCATATCTCTCGCTGCCAACTGGTCCGTCAGTTATTCGCCCCTCGCGCTGGTGACTTTGAAATCGACCCGAACGCATTTGGCGAAGAGACGCGGTTCTCTGGTGGCTCGCATCATTCTTCGGCCAATGAGCCGTCGCGGAGTGTGTCGCGCCAGTCATCGCAGGCACCGATCGCTGTTCACACAGAGCGCAACTCACACCAGCGCGGTCAACCCTCCCTGTCACTCTCCAATGGCGGGCCACCCCCGATGAACCGTCAACCTAGCTCGTTAACACAGGTGTCGACGTCGAGTGGCGGTGCCATGAAAGTTAAGGTTTTCTTCCAGGACGACCTCATTGCAATTCGGGTCCCGAACGACATCAGCCTTCAACAGCTCAAGGAGAAGCTCATGGACCGCCTGAAGATTCAGGATGAGATCATGGTTCAGTACAAGGACGAACCGTCCGGGACGTACGTTGATCTGGCCACGGACAGCGACCTGGACACGGCGATCCAGCGGAACTCCAAGCTCACACTATATGTTGGACTTGCATAGAAGCGTTATTTTATCACCCTCCGTCTATATCCCGATAGATCTGTCTGTCATTTTTATCAGTTTCTTTTGTTGTCCGAATATTGCACCCGTTTGTGGAGGTGCATCGGGTGTCCCGGTGTTATGGTTATTTTTCCTGTTGTCTCTGGTCATCAGCCTCTGAGCGGTTGTTATTGAATCACGAGGTTGATGCTTTGACAAGAATGACATGTCTGAAACGTTTACGCCATCATGTACCCTTTCTTTGTTTTTGAAGCTGCACTATTCTGTTGTGTGGGCCATGGCTGATTGTTTACCCTCCATACCCTGTTACTGTGATGTGCTATTGTCTTTTGTACATAAGTCTTCTCTTGCATATATATTCTAGCCGTAGGCTACGACACCTACCTACCGTTTACCATCTGCTTTTTGGGGCCCAGTAGAACACATGGTAGGAACCAACCACCGGTCGCGCAATAAACAAATGATCCACTCGGCCAATTAAGGCGTTGTCGGCTCTAGATCTGGGGGCCGATCAGTTGCCGCCCTCCGAGTCACATGACTGGCATCGGAGTGCCTTTTCTCGTTGCTTCGGTTCCTTTTCGCCGCGGAGTTCTGCTCTTCCGGTCAATATCGGGGCTCTTCAGAGGACTTTCTTTCTCACCTGCATACTTGCATTCGACCCGTTGACTCGAGTCGACCTGTATATACTTGTCAGCGCTTGCATTCCTGTTGCCCTCTCTAGTGTCCACTTGCCTGTCCCCGCTTCTTGACCGCGTGGGCGCCGCACTTGACCGTCTCATTCGCCGAGTATTTGCCGACCGAACAACCTCGGGTTTAAGTCTCCTCGACTTTGTCGCAACGCACGCACATTTGATCAGATACACCAACTTTCCTAGACTGTTTCCGTCATACACAACGTCCATGAGCGGATCTTCAGCGAAGCTCTGCGCGGACTATTTGCCCGGCGCACTGAGGGCTCGGGGCCCTCTTTTGCGTGCCGTTCCTCGGGGCACTCGCCGGCCTGGCGCCAGGGAGTATAGACGGGGTGCTCATGGCGCGAACAACTCTCGCTATCGCCCCTCGGTGACAGCTCACCGGGTACCGGTCTGCGATACTGTGGATGTGCGGTTGTCGCAGGGCCAGTATGCGCGCCGCTTTGCGACAGCCGCCGAGGGGAAGGCTGTGGAGGCCGACGCTGCAGCTGGGATGCAGGGTGGTCCGTTGGCCGAGTATGATGCTCGTGTACAGCAGGGTCGCTTGCGAGATGATCCGTATCAGAGACGTACGTTGTATTCCCATGTGAATTGGTTGTCTCCGGTAGAGCGGAAGTCCTTCCCATAGAGGGGAGGGACTGAATTGATGGCCTATTTCGAATTACAGAGGCTGACATGCTTCAATTGCTATGAACAGAGATCATTGAGCAACTGCAGGACCTGTACGAACGACTGAGATCCTACAACCCCCCGCCGGTCGTCCAGCCAAGCGTCGAATCCCTCGACCCCAAGCCCAAGTCGTTCTTCGGCTCGCTGTTCGGACGCAACGCGAAGCAGGAACTCACGATCCCCGAAGCCCTCCCCAAGGGACTATACATGTACGGCGACGTAGGATGCGGCAAGACCATGCTCATGGACCTGTTCTATGAGACTCTCCCACCCAACATCAAGACCAAAACGCGCATCCACTTCCACAACTTCATGCAGGATGTGCACAAGCGCATGCATGTCGTCAAGATGAAATACGGCAACGACTTCGATGCGCTGCCTCTCGTGGCGGCTTCCATCGCAGAGGGCTCGAGTGTGCTGTGTTTCGATGAGTTCCAGTGCACAGATGTTGCAGATGCGATGATTCTCCGAAGGTAGTTCACTAAACCAGCCTCACCCACACTACAACCACTTCTCACAAACAGTTCAACAGACTCCTCGGATCCCTCATGTCCCACGGCGTCCTCCTCGTCACCACCTCCAACCGCCACCCCGACGACCTCTACAAGAACGGCATCCAACGCGAATCCTTCATTCCCTGCATCAACCTCCTCAAGACCGCCCTCGACGTCATCAACCTCAACTCCCCCACCGACTATCGCAAGATTCCCCGTCCCCCAGCAGCCGTCTACCACCACCCACTCGGCCCAGACGCCGACCAACACGCCCAGAAATGGTTCGATTTCCTGGGCGACCCCATCAACGACCCCCCGCACCCCGCCACCCAAGAAGTCTGGGGTCGCAAGATCCATGTGCCCCTGGCCAGCGGCAAAGCCGCCAAATTCAGCTTCCAGCAGCTCATCGGCAGCGCCACCGGCGCAGCGGATTACCTGGAACTCGTCCGGAATTACGAGGCATTCATCATCACCGATGTGCCGGGCATGAATCTCACCCAGAGAGATCTGGCTAGACGGTTCATTACTTTCATTGATGCTGTGTATGAGAGTAGGGTGCGTTTACCCCACAACGTTGACCCCAACAATCACCCAATCCCATGGACTAACAGTATGAATCACAGGCAAAACTCGTCCTCACCACCGAAGTCCCCCTCACCAACCTCTTCCTCTCGGCCGACGACGTCAAAGGCACCCTCAAGGACGGCAGCGACGACAACGGCGCTGATCTCTCCGACGCGATGCGCATGATGATGGACGATCTGGGATTGTCGATGCAAGCGCTCAAAACCACGTCGATTTTCAGTGGTGATGAGGAGCGGTTCGCGTTCGCGAGAGCATTGTCGCGTCTTTCGGAAATGGGGAGTAAGATGTGGGTGGAGCGTGGGTTGGGGGTCGGGATGGATGCGGATCATGGGAAGAGTGAACATGATGCGTATGTGAAGGCGAGGAGTCGTTGGTCGGAGGATAATATGTGATCCTCTTTCATCCTCTTCTTTGCTTTATTAGAGTATTGTTTGTAGATGGTTGCTGGGTTCTTCGTTGCATATATACTTTGATACATACGTGTATACACTTTCAGTTACAGCTACAGTTGCATTTACAGACCATAGAGCTTGAATTGATGAACATGAATACACAGTTTGCATTTCTTATCATTTCCACAGCATAGGTTGTGTTGTAGTCTTCACTAACAATAAGTGATTGAGAGAAGCTATAACATGACGTCATCCACTCCCAACCACCGCGATCTACCAGGAACTCAACAAACAAGTCTTTCAGGGACATCATTTGAGTTCTCCACCCTCAGGGCTCCTGTCATGCTCTCAATGATACATTGCCATTGGCCAAGGATCATAGCCAAAGCAACCCCCTCCTCTGCGATGGACCCTGTAGTAGTGCAGGGAGTGGGACTTTAGTGCACATCACTGACATCATGGATTCAGCAGTTCTGACCAATTTCAGTGGGCCATCGACTCTGCAAGAACAGCGTTGCATCATGGTTCCGGTCCAGACTGTCCCCTGATCGACTCTAGAATTACCAGTGCTTAGAAATAGAGAGCTGCCATTGGGTTTCTGGCCGGGTTGGTCGGGATGAGTATATAGATAAATAGATAGTAGTAGTACTCGCAGACATCTTCTTTGGGAGTACTACTACTTCTTCTCATCATCAGTGTATCTGTACCAGAGTGTGACAAATTGGAATACATGCTTTCATAATGGCTAGCGAACAGTTCAATATGGCCACCAAACATGATGATCTCGCCCGAGATACAGTTCAGCTGTCCGGCGTTCAACCCATGACCACAGACTATGGAATTAAGATATCGGATCCGGACCATTGGCTTCGCGTTGTCGATGCGCAGCATAATGGTCCCTCGCTACTGGAGGATCCGATCGCGAGGGAGAAGGTATGATACACTTCCTTTCTATAGTAGTCCCCTCTGCTAGAGTATTGATCGGTGGTGCAGATTATGCGCTTCGACCACGAACGGATTCCCGAACGAGTCGTGCATGCCCGTGGCGCTGGAGCCTTCGGAACCTTCAAGCTTCATCAGGCTATTCCGGAACTTTCCTCTGCGGGTGTCTTGACTGACACAGAGCGCGAAACTCCCGTCTTTGTTCGCTTTTCTACTGTTCAGGGTAGTCGTGGGAGTGCGGATACTGTGCGTGATGTTCGTGGCTTCGCGGTGAAGATGTACACTGCGGAAGGCAACTGGGATATTGTTGGGAATAATATTCCTGTTTTCTTTATTCAGGATGCTATCAAGTTCCCTGATGTTATTCATTCGGTGAAGCCGGAGCCTCATAATGAGATTCCTCAGGGACAGAGTGCTCATAATAACTTTTGGGATTTCCAATACATGCATTCGGAGACTACTCATATGCAGCAGTGGGTGAGTTTGCTGTGTTTATTTTATTCCCTGGGTCACTGGCTAATTGAGTTGCTAGGTTATGTCGGATCGTGCTATCCCTCGTTCGTACCGTATGATGCAAGGCTTCGGTGTCAATACCTACTGCCTTGTGAATGCCAAGGGACAGCGGCACTTTGTCAAGTTCCATTTCACCCCGGAGCTCGGTGTTCATTCCCTCGTTTGGGACGAAGCGCTGAAGATTGCAGGTCAAGATCCTGACTTCCATCGGAAGGATCTGATGGATGCCATTGAGGCAGGCCAATACCCCAGGTGGAAGTTCGGCATTCAGGTGATTCCAGAAGAGAAGAAGGATGACTTTGAGTTCGATATCCAGGATGCAACCAAGATCTGGCCGGAGGAGCTTGTGCCAATCCAGTACATTGGACAATTGGAGCTGAATCGCAACGTTGACGAGTACTTCCCCCAAACCGAGCAAGTGGCTTTCTGCACAAGTCATATTGTGCCCGGTATTGACTTCTCGGACGATCCCCTTCTCGTGGGCCGCAATTTCTCCTACTTCGATACACAGATCTCTCGCTTGGGCCCTAACTGGCAAGAACTGCCAATTAACCGTCCCGTGTGTCCGTATATGAGTCTGGTCAACCGGGATGGTCAAATGAGACACCGCATCACAAAGGGCAAAGTGAACTATTGGCCGAACAGGTTCGATGCGAATCCCCCAACCTCTCCGGCTCATGGAGGATTTGCGACCTACCCTGAAAAGCAGCGGGGTGTGAAAGCGCGTGCACTGTCAGACAAATTTAGCGAGCATTTCAACCAGGCCCAACTGTTCTACAACTCCCTCAGCCCCATAGAAAAGCTTCACGTCTCCAAGGCATTCTCCTTCGAATTGGATCATTGCGACGAGGAGATCGTGTATAAGCGCCTCTCAGAACGACTGGCTGTCGTTGACCTCCAGCTGGCGAAGACGGTTGCGAAGAATGTTGGAGGCAACACGCCGACCAAGGCACCAAAGGAGAACGACGGAAAAACGTCGAAGGGCTTGAGCCAATTCGACTACCTTTCTGACAGCGCACAAATTGCTACCCGCCGAGTTGCCATCCTGATCGCGGATGGCTTCGACCTCAACTCATACAGGGACATGAAGAGTGCGTTGCAGAAGCAGAATGCATTTGTATTCACCATTGGATCCCAGCGCCAGGGTGTCACCTCCGAATCAGGAGAGAAGGTGATCCCCGACCATCATTTCCCAGGAATGCGTTCCACGCTCTTTGACGCGACTTTTGTCCCCGGCGGAAAGCACGTTAGTGTGCTGGCGAAGAACGGCATCGCTAAGCACTGGATTTCCGAGTCCTTTGCGCACTTGAAGCCTATTGCTGGTGTCAACGAAGCGGTGGACTTTATCCGGAAGCAAATCAACCTAGACGCGGTCAAATATGCCTCGAATGGTCAAGTGAAAGAAAGCTACGGAGTGGTGACTGCCCATGGTGCACCCGCGGAGCTGCTGCAAGTATCGTCCAATATTAGTCGCGAGAGCAAGGGATTCGTCGACCAGTTCATTTGGCAAATTTCGAGGCACAGGAACTGGCAGAGGGAACTAGATGGCTTGGTGGATGAGATCGCTGCATAGTGAAGTGTTAGTAAATATTCAGTCATGAGATAATGAATAGCAATCCTTCATGTTTGTCACAGCATGGTTTGTAGCAAATCCCTAATAGATGAGAAGCCGGCAGAGAAAAATCAACCTAAGCAGCGTCTACAATAGAAGTGTCACCAATATGCATTAAAATACCGAGGTTGGTACGTCAGCTGCATATGATGTGTGACATAGGTAATGGTGTGAGCATGTCGGAGCTGGATGGCACAACAACTCACCAGCAGTGTAGAGACTTGAGAGCAACATGTTTGCCTTGGTATAGGCACACCAGAAGGGGTCCTCGCAATATGCTCCGTCAGCCTGGTTTTGGAAAGTTCTTCGCATTCCAACCCGGCCCGATTCTAATGTAAGGGGTAATAAGCCGGTAGCCTCACACCTGGCCTCGAGTACTTCTACAGCAAAAGGTCGTCTGGGCTTTGTCTCATCCTCATCTGAGGGATTTCAGTATCATGGTGCTCAAAATATCACGCGCCACGCGGTTGACGGTGGTGGTTGTCATCTCCTCAGCATTCTTTGTGGCTGAGATTTCAGGTAGTCTCCCCTCTATACATCTGCAGCCCACTTCATTGCAAGCCTGGCTAATGCGACCGTACGGTAGTTGGCTTTTACACGCATTCCATTGCTTTGGTGGCCGATGCTTTCCATTATGTATGTGCGGCCCAGTGTTGCAGAGTAGTCACTGATAAATCTAGCTGAACGACCTGGTCGGGTTTGTTGTCGCGCTCGTTGCTCTCAAGGTAGCCCACGACACTGTTCGAAACGTTGCAACAGATACTGAGATCAAGCTCCAGGTCTCAGAAGCAGATGAATCGCCGAAAGCCCTAGCCTTCGGTTGGCAACGAGCCCAGTTGCTGGGTGCCTTCTTCAATGGGGTCCTACTCTTCGCGCTCGGGATCAGTATTTTCCTACAGTCCATTGAGCGATTCATCACGCTTCAGCGTTGGTACTCCATTTGACTGTCAACTTCATCCAGTTAATGTGCAACAGGTGTTGAGAATCCTAAGCTCATGTTCATAATGGGAGCCATCGGACTGACCCTGAACCTTATCAGCGCCACGTTTCTCCACGGTAATCCCGGCTTCAACAGCTAGTGAGGCGGCCCCGGTAACTGTTTTACAGAGCATCACCATCATGATCACGGCCATGAACCTAGTTCAGGGGCTCTCGAAGAGCTTCCCGTGTCGACGACAGATGACATTACAGGACCGGAACGACCAGGAAGTCCTAACGTTAGTACTTGAGCAGACTATAGAGCTTTCAGCTGGCTGACCTCCTACCCTGTAGCACAATGATCACAAACACCTTTCAAATGGGGCTCATGCAGCCTCTCACGGACATGACCTAGGGATGCTGGGGGTCTTGATCCATGTTATAGGCGATGCGGCCAATAACCTTGGAGTGATGGCAGCGGCCTTGGTCATATGGCTCGCTCACTATGGAGGAAGATACTATGCGGATCCTGGCACAAGCATGGGAATATCCATTATGATAATGCTGTCTTCTGTTCCACTGGGTATGTCCTTTCATGTTGTTTGATCCATGGATGCTGAACCCTGTGATAGTGCGGCGATGTGGAATCATCCTGCTGGAAAGCGCGCCTAATGGAGTCGACCTTGAGGATGTGAAGCATGATCTAGAGAAGGTAGGCCACATACAAGCTCCAGTCATCGACTAATTCTCACCATTGGACGCTTCGCAGATTCCCGGTGTTCTATCGGTCCACGAGCTACATATCTGGCGCCTAAACCAGCACAAGGCGCTCGCATCGGTTCATGTAATGGTGTCCGATTGCTCAGTACCGAGTTTCCTTAAGTTGAGTAAGACCATCAACGAATGTTTCCACGCATACGGGATCCATTCTACCACGATTCAGCCGGAGATGGCCCACCCGGAGGCGATTGCTCTGGGAAGGCCGGCAGTGGAAACAGAACTGAGTTCACAGACTGAAATGTCTGAGAAGTGTCAGGTGATATGCGGGACATTATGTGAAGAATTGACTTGCTGTGGATAGAGGACAAACGGAAAATGGAAATAAGGAGAGGGAAACAAAAGAACTTGAAGTAAGAGGTACAAACAAAAAAAAAAGGCGAAGGGGAAATGAAGATGAAGATGAAGATGGCGAATGTCACGAGGAGGCTGGGTCATCTGACCTGGCTGCTACTACTTAGTTTTAGAAACATCCCATCTTTGAATGCTTCTCTTCCTCCGCTTCATTCTTATTCACTCGAATGATTGTCAATCTCCTTCGTTGCTGGCCCGAGTACCATTGATGAGATGTGAAGTCAATCTCTCGCCCCCAACTAGTACGCGGAACATATTCCGCCTGGTCGTTCAAACCTTCGGCTGTGCTTCTGGTTCCATCCGCCATTCCTAGCAGATCCCCTCCGGTACTGACGGCCAATGGTTAAATAGTGACACCGAAAATAACTAGGCGATGTCGGCACAGGAACGCCATTCAGCGGACTTTGCCAATTGCCGATAAGCGCCAGGCCTCTTGATAGGCAAGTACTCGCGACCAGAAAGATAAGAGGATCTCCACCCGAGGCGTATCTCCTCCCTGGAGCTAAGACCTGCAGCGCAGCTAGATGCATATAGGGTACTCCAACAAAGGCCTTCTGTAGATCATTATTGGTCTGCATTCCGATTCCGAGATGTAGACAGTGTCCCGACTCCTCATCTGCCTTGTCATGGAAACCATTAGTGCTCTTGACTGCCGGTTTTAAACTGTGCGCACTCCCCACCTTTCCCATGCCAGTCACATTTCCTCCATCACTCAAACTCGACCCTAGCGCTCGTGAGCATCTTACACTATGTCACTCTCATGGGAATCCCAGGCCCAAAAGGCCAAGGACATTCTCCAACAATCGATCCCCAAACAATGGCTACTCCCCGCACATAAGCTACCCTCGGCCGACCTGAAGAATGTGGAGGACTTTCCCCGCAAAAGCGGCCTTCTCTCGGCGAGAGAGCTCAGTATAACCGACATGTCTGCCGCTACCCTAGTGCAGAACATGGGGGCTGGAAAGCTCACGGCAGAGGAGGTGGTCGTAGCCTTCCTCAAGCGATCCGTATTGGGCCATCAACTGGTAATGCTTAACTATATCTTGTCCGGGTTTCGGTGCAACTGATCCTTGTTGTCAGCTTAACTTCGCCACAGAGTTCCTAACCGACCGAGCAATTGGGCGAGCCAAGGAATTAGATGAGTATTATAGGCGAACCGGAAAGCTAGTTGGGCCTTTGGTGGGACTTCCTTATCAGCGGTGCCGTACAACCTATAGACTAATAACTCACAGCATGGTGTCCCGATAAGCGTCAAGGAGCATGTTGGGGTCAAGGGCCTCACATGTAATGCCGGCTATGTGGCCTGGTATGGCCCCGTTCTTCTTCAAATACAGTATCAAAGCCAGAAACTGATAACACTAGGGTGGACGATGTTGCAACAGAAGACGCCCTCATACTACAATGTCTCGAAAAGGCTGGCGCCGTCTTCCATGTACGAACCAACCAGCCGCAATCTCTCATGGTATGTCTATATGCCCACCTTGCAGGCAATGACCTTGCGTAGCTAATAAATACATGAAGCACCTCTGCTGCAGCAATAACCTCACCGGAAAGACGCTAAACCCTTACAACCGCACGCTCAGTGCTGGGGGTTCCTCAGGTGGTGAAGGCGCTTCGACCGGCTTCAAATGCGCTCCCCTAGGTATCGGCACAGACATTGGAGGCTCAATCCGATGCCCCGCTGCATTCTGTGGCTCCTATGGGTTCCGCCCAACAGCCCTTCGCAACCCAATGTCAGGTGCAAAGGCACCCAAGGACGGTCACGAATCCATTCGCGGCGTAATCGGGCCTCTTGCTAGCCAGAGCGTGGAAGACATGGACCTCTTCCAGCAGGCCATCATCGACCAAGAGCCCTGGGATATCGAGACGTCCTTGGCTCCGGTCCCATGGAAGAGGGCCAAGCCTACCAAAGGCATGACTGTAGCCATCATGTGGGATGACGGGTAAGCCAATATCGTCACACCAATGCATACGGCAACTAACAAATCAAAAACCAGAGTCGTCCGCCCCCATCCCCCCGTAACCCGGGCCCTCAAACACGCCAAAGCCAAGCTCCAAGCAGCGGGCATCAAGGTCATCGACTGGGAACCATACAAGCACAAGCACGGCTGGGACATCATCGTACGTCACGCCAATCAAGCAATACCACTTTAATCATACCCATACTGATCACAAAACCCTAGTCCGCCATGTACTTCCCCGACGGAGCCCTCAGCCAGCGCAAACTCATCGCCCAAACGGGCGAACCCATTCTTCCTCTGACAGCCTGGGCCTTCAACTACAGCAGTCCTACCCCCCTCACCATGGCCGAATCCTGGGAACTAAATGTCCAGCGCGACGTATACCGAGACGAATACCACGCCTTGATGAAATCCAGAGGCGTGGACTTCATCCTCTGTCCCGCATACGCGGGCGTTGCCTCCGTTCTCGGCGAATCCCACTACTGGAACTACACGGCTGTCTGGAATATCTTGGACCAGCCGGCCGTAGTATTCCCATCTGGTCTGAGCGTGAATCCGCAGCTGGATCAGTTGACCAGCGAGCATAAGTCATATAAGCCTCGAGACGAAGTTGATCAGCGCGAATGGAGCAAGTATACCGGTCCGGAACGGTACGAAGGTGCGCCCATTGCGTTGCAGTTGGTCGGAAAGCATTTCAAGGATGAGGAAACTCTGGCTGCTGGTGCGTTGGTTGATGGTATTCTAAAGGGAGCAGAGCAGACCTCTACTAGATCTATGCTCTGAGTTAAGCATAGCTGGGTGGGAGAAAAATTGAAGTGAAATCCGATATCAATCATAAATTGACCGATCATTTACAATCCATTATATCCATCAATCATAACGAAGCATAAATACATACATGAAAAATCCCAATCATACATCATAAATAAGGTCGTAAGAAAAGGTGAAGGAAAAGGAAACATAGACAAAAGAACTCCAAACAAACCTATCTCACCACCAGCAAGGGAGCCAGACCTGGACAATGAGATAGACATAGAGGGGGTATACCGATAGAATTTAGATCAATCACTTCCTCCAAAACATAGCCTTACCCGCCACCCTCTTAGCGGACCACTTCGCCTCAGCAAACTTATCCTTGAAACTAACCCCACCACCGTACTTAAGCGCAGTACTACTCCTCCCACCACTCGAGCCAGAAACATGGCTCATATTCGCCAAGTTGCCCGCATCGAACTTGGTCTTGCCCTCGACGATCTTCTGCACGACAAGCAAGATCGCATACGTCGTGGAACCAATGACACGAATAAGGGCCAACACCACCACGGACCACAGAATGATAGCGAGGTAGATGTTCGTACCGCCCGCATCCGGACCATAGACTTCTGAGATGGCCATGGCCAGAATGACGTTCGCTACCATCCAGATGGAGACCATGTATGTACGGACGGCGCGGTAGTAGTCTTCTTGCATTTGGCTCTCGGTGATGGGGGTTTCGGGGACTTCGACGCGGTCGCGGAGGTTGCGGAGCGCAGCGTCGTAGCCGCTGTCGATGTCGAGTTGTTCGGAGGGCATTTCGATTTGCACGGTTGTGCCGTTGACGACTCGCGCGGCTCCCAGGTCCATGTTCAGGACGTTGTCACCTTTTGTTCCCCAAGAGACGTCGTGCGTGTTGCAGAAGGCGTAGACCTGGAGGGTGCAAATGTAGCTGGGTAACATGATGAAGTAGGCTGCTGAGGAGGTGAACATATGCCAGGGATCGAGGTAGAGGAAGGAGGCGTAGAAGTATAAGCCCACTGTTGAGAGGAGGGACATGACGATGTTGACGAATAGGCCGTCGCTCACTTCCAGGGATGTATCGGCGCCCGTTCGTGCTAGAATTTCGATCACCACAAGATACATGGTGCAGAAGATCGTGTAGAACATGATGATCGAATACACGATGATGCCGGACAGATATAGCTTTTTGGCACTGCAAGGGTTGGGGTTAGCCAGCTGTTCATGGGACTGCCTTGTATGGACTACTCACCCTTGCGGTCGATTACCCATTGAAATGATGAACTGCAGACACATCACCAGAATACAGGCGTATCTCAGGATCACGAATATGTATTTGCCGATATGGTGACCAAACGGATCAATTTTATCGTCGGTAAGTGAGCCAGCGATAAAGTAGAATACCAGGTAGAAGTTTGCCTGAGTAGTGAGTGGAATGTCAGCGAGGTTTTCTTGGATTGCTGGGTATCCAAAACCTACCAAGCCAAAGTACGTGAAGATCAATTGCATGAATTGGTAAGCACCCTCAATTTGAAGGAGAATCTTCCGAGGTAGTGAGTGGTCCGTTTTCCAGAGTTGCTTGGCATTGACGATAGAGTACACGGCCGCGAAGAAGGCACCGTTCAACCAACGTCTTCTCTGTGAGATGAACTCGGGAATTGAGTCTAGCAAGGGCTGTTAGCGGAATTACATCTATCGCTCGTCTTCATGGCTTACCTGGGACGTCAGTTTCACCAACAGCACTCTTCACGAACTTCAAGACCCAGCGCTCTTCCCTCTTGGCAACTAACTCCCAGCAGAGGATACGATCTTCTGCTAGGTACATGTTGGCTGTGAACACATCTGCATCTTGTCCGTGTAGAGTTTCTCCCTTGAAGTACTGGTTCAGAGGGCCATTACCCTCGGCGTCGTTCTGCAGTGCGAAGAACCGATACGCACTGAGCGCTCCAGGAAGCACAGTAATGTAACCGAAGACAGACTCCAACGGCTTGTCCAGAATGTTGGACATCTTATACTCGAAGTTCTGACTGGCAACCAGAGGGTTCAGAAGACCGAGCATACCCTTGCCTTTGCCCGCCTTGATTTCACCAGCCGCTCCCGCGACGTTCGAGTTCTGGTCGAACGCTTTCCAGAGGTGGTAGAGTGCGGTAGGCGCAGGTTTGGTACCCACATCGAGCAGGATGCAAATGTTCGGCTGTAGTGCTCGGCCAAAAGCGTTGAAGAACCAACGGTGTGAGTTCAATTTCTTCTTGTTGTGTTCTTTCAAACAGAAGAGCACCTGGCACGGCATGATGCCCTTCTCAGCGCCCTTGAACTTCAAGTCGGGATCGAGCGATACCTGCGTCGTGTATTCGTAGACGTGCGCGTTGACCTGCTTCTGGTTGACAACGTTCTTGGCGATACCTTCCTGGTAGACACCCAAAGCCGCCAAAGCATTGAGGGTCCGCGGGTGCACCTTCTTACGACCGTCGGCGATGATGCAGACCACAATCTTCTTCCAACCATCCTTACCCCAGGTACGGGACTTGGATCGCGAGCAAAGGTGGGTGATATTCTGCATCACACCATGCATAGTCCGAGTGAAGCCGATCTCATCCTCGTTATACATTGTGATACAAATCAACAGCTCAGTCTCACGCATAGTACTGCCAATCTGTTGGCGCAGCTTGTAGCCTCGCTGCGTGAAGTCGTCGGGGTCACAGGTCACTGCAGTGTATCGCATATGGGTGAATTCTCGGTCATCACGACGAGGCAAGAAAGAGTGCAGGATAGTTGGGATCTTGCATTCCAAGATCAGTTCACCGTTGATCAGTTGGACTTCTTTGGTTGACATCTGCGCCTCACGAACACCTCGGCGGCTCTGCTTTTCTGGAGCTGGACCATAATGTATGTTAGGGTCGACCATTTCATCTGTTTCTTCCATTTCATCGTCCAAGTCAACTTTCGACATGGCATCCTTCTCATCTGTTATAATCGTAGACTCGCTCATAAAAGACTGCATACTGGCTCGATTGTTAGGGTCAATTGTCCGCCCACCACCACCGAATACATCATCGTCGCCTGCATCATTGATTGGGATGTTTGCATCATGTCCACCCGGGGCTGAAAAAAGCGGTGCTGGGGGCAACGGACGGCGAGGGCTCCCCCCATATCTTGAGCTGGGGGTGCCCGGTCGTGGACTACCATTGAGATCTGCACGTTCATATTGCGAGCTTGCGACTGAAGGGGGAGCTGGAGGTCTGGCCCAGTTCCCGACACGGTTAGGCGACCAAGGCCGTGTGGGAGAGCCCGGACGAGAGGTATAGTGTGGAACATCTACCGTTGATGCTGCTGGCGGGGGGATGGTCGGTACGTTTCCCAGACTCGATACAGGTCGTGAAGGAGATTCGGTTGGTTCATAGGGATAGTATCGCTGGCGTTCACTTCTGCGGTTGTTTTGAGCACGCGAGTTAGCAGACCGCTTCATAACCATCATTTCGTAGATCATATTGAAAGCAGTTGTGCCGGATGTCCGAAGACATCCCAGTTATACGCAGAAAAGCGAAGACAGTGTTTGCTAGGGAAATCACGGCATGCAAAAAGACTGGATATTTCTCAGTCACCAGGCCTGAGCTTTCCCCAGACAGCTATTTCAACAGCATTGACCATGTCAACAAGGGGAGAATTGGTATGGAGCTCCACGCCGTAGGGCAGATACCAAACAGAGTCATCGGAATGCCAGAAGCCATAGCTTAGTGTGATAAGGTAAAATGAAAGAATGGCTATTACTTACTCTCCGTCATCGACAAAAGGATCCCCGTAGTGGTACTCTGAGCTAACTCCTGTATCGGCACTCAAATCGCTTTCTACAATCGTGCTGGTTGGCAGCAAGCGCATAGTAGCTCCATGCGCACGAGATGCTGCCGGAGGAGATTCATGTTCGGTAAAGTATGGGTCCTCGTACGTATCATATGCCGGCGGCTCCTCTTCCTGGTTGTGCGCCGGCACATACATCCGCGACGAGTTGTTCATGATTATCTGCTCGTCACTCAATTGTGCATAGTATCCGATGATCAAACGTTGCAGTGGCACAGTATAGTTCTTCAGGTATCCGTGTGGTTACTGCACCAGCTGTTGAGATGACCTCAACTGAAGGCACGTAGATAGCACTGGTTTATGGATTCCTAAAGGTAACGGGTTCCACGGTTAGCACGTCTGCATTGCCCACACAGTTCCAGATCCGGGGTGATGGGGAATGCCACTTACTATCCACAGGAGGCAGTTGGTTGCCTGGTAGTACCAGTAAACAAACCAAGTATGTCAGAGATCTGGAGGAATTTATCGCGGAAACCAAGCGATCGGATCACGGTTGAAGAAACGGAGTAGAACCTCGGATGCGGCACTCGAGCTTCCTTATAAACAAAGGTTGCGATCCACACCACAGACGCACACACAGAGCGTCAAACACTGAATAATGGCAGGTGATAAAGTGAACGGAACCGATCAGATCCGCCCCAGGCACTTCTTATGAAATCACCTTGGATACGGGCGCCTAAACTGCCGTCGTAATCGGTCTGCGCTGACGAACAGCAGCGCCTGGAGAGCGTGGATATCACCAGGGCAACGGAAGCTTGGAAGAGCGAGCGGGGCGACCATCCTTGCAGCTGAGAGACATCGCATGGATCGAGTGATCGTGCTAGGAGAGTTGAGGAAACCCATTTTGAATGGTCATTGGCTCTGTTCGTAATTGTGGGCGTTTGGTTCCTGGCGATGTTCCGGATATTCAGTTCTGGTCCTTACTTCGACTTTCTGGCCATTTCCTCGTGCGATTCCGTGGGCGAGATCCCGCCCGGCTCCTCAGGCACCACCACCACCAACCCGCCCCTCGCCAACTGCATTTTCTACTACCGAACCGTGGAGCTTGCTTTTATTTGAGGTCCGTGCGGATTCAAGGAGCACGGTCTTGGGACGCAATATAATCCTTTGACCACAGTCCTTGGTTAGTGCAGATTTACAGCTAGCAATATATAACCTCATATGTTGTGGAGAACTCGGTCGTAAACACCAGTCCATTCCAGTTCCGCGTGCCCGTAGACGATTAGCTGTGGCTCACCAATAGCTTGACCAAAACAGTAAATATAGAAGGCTGATAATTAGAGTAGAGACAAATTAGGTTCCCAAGCACACTAACAACATATCCATCAAGTTGACAAAATCCATCTTCGCCATATTACACCCACAACTGTATAGCCCATAAACTGACGTGTCGTTAATATATCATAATCCCCCAGTCCTGTAGCAGTCAAGGAATTGTAGTACTACCCGAGCACAACAAGACAATAAATGAACAACCCAACTTAGACCCGAAAAGAGGCTCAGACATTAAGCGCAACCGACTCACTTTTTGGGATTCATGTTCACAAAGCCACCTGCTTCCTGACAAGCGCGTAAGATGGCGATTGATTCATAGCCCTTAATTAGGCCGTTTGTGCTGGCTGGGTCGAATCGTTGAGCAACGGCTCCCTCTCGCGATCGGTTGCCGGCGCCGGCTGCCCGGCCCTGCGGAAAAAGATGTTGCGCCCAGAGTACTTCGTCAGGGAAATATAGAGGGACTCGGCGAAGAAGACAGCAAAGATGACAATGGCAAATATCCACTGTAGGGAGATGACCTTGACGCCGAACTGCTTGACGGCCAATGCTGCAGAGGTGTTAGCGCTGTGACGCTACTTTTTCAGATAATTTTGTACTGATACATACCCAGCGTCAAGAGACTCAGACTGTAACCCAGAATGTCATCCTGGGTGGACAAGATATGCGTCGATCCCAGCGCGAACAATACCCAAATGAACACATTAGCGACGATCCTCGCTGGCAGGCTGTTGCTGTTCACAGCAACTGCTCCGTTCCAGAAGAGAGTGATCAGAGTCCAGGCGTAGGGCGCTGCGACAGCGGCAAAATGCGCAAGAGGTGGTAGTGTGCGATGCCGCCAGTAGGTCGTCTTTTGATTCAGGAAGTGCGCGATCAGGATAATTTCTGAGCCCCAGAAGTGGTTACGAGTCCACAGAAGGATCCAGGCGAAAATGAACAAATTGTTCAGGATAAAATGTGACCCTACATTGGCGGCGGCGGTGGCCGTTACCGCATCATTGGAGAAAAGGTGGTAGACAAAGCCGATTTGAGACAGGAGGGTTATGATCCTAAAGTAGCAGGTCGTAAGAATAGGTTGGTAATCATAGAGCAAGGTTGGTAGCTCAATATATTAAAGATGTCATAGAAGGAAACCTGGGTGGATTTACCAATAGATACCAGCAATAACCGTGCTCAAGCTAAATGGAGTAATATGCTTGTTGGCTTGCTTCCAGATGGTATGGCCATGCTTGACATCGGGGGCATGGGAGGAGTAGTAGATGCCGACGACCACCACGAGCAGCCACGACAAGGGAACGAGGACGCGATAGGTTCCAAGTGAGAACCTGCCGTGCGACTCTCGCCTAGAGAATGGATTGTCTGGGAAACATCACAATCAGTAACTGATGAATAAACGGCGTATCGCAGGTGAGAGTGCCTTAGGAAACAAGGGGGAGGAACTCACAGGTCGACATAGCGACTGCTATGGATTAAGAGGTAGGGATGGATAGGGTGAACGGGCGAAGGAGACCTAGAATCAGGAAGAGCGAACTCTGAGCCCGACTGGGAAAGAAGGGAAGGACATCCGGTTATATTGCGTAGCACAGCAGAGGTGAAGGATTTTCAGCGACGAAGCATAAGTAGAAAAAGTACTTTAGTTGAAGGAGACTGGAGGATGTCATTGGGAGGGAGACGGCAGCTCCCCCGCATTGCCTGATCTCCTGACAGGCTCTCGCGTCTCTCACTGGCCAGCCCGCCCAGCCATCACGGGACTGCCGTGCTTCCGGATGTCGTGTTGCGTAGTATTACTCGTCTCTTAGATGTTCTTTCCTGCTTAGCTCGTTGCTTGGAGCTGGTGTACTACGGTATGTGGGGGCCTTTTCCCTGGTTCAGCACAATGAGGTGACGACTAGTATCTATGACATCATCCTTAAAGGTATCGATCTCTATCCAACATCAGAGGACGCGATAAAACGCTAACAGTGGTAAATATGCAAACAGAACGCATTATAGAGGTACTGCATGCTCCTGTCCTCCCTCCATCATCGCCATCTCGTCGTCAATGGTCGTCATATGCCGTTGATCGCCGTCCCCACGTTGTCGATCAGTGCACGGTCCTATTGGCGCATGCAGCCGAGTGTCTCTTCCGCCAGTGAGCAGACAAAATGCAGCAAGAGTACCCTTTTCGAATGCATCTGCGCGCGAATACGGCCGGGTGTCTTGTTCGTCTTGTGGTAGCCCAACAAGTACTCCTGGCCCTCACGCACGAACTGTCCTGTCAAACCACTTGGGGGGCTGCATAGTCACGGCATACTAGTCCGTAGCCTTGCTCTCTCATCAAACACTAGGTTGTGAGATAATAAAACTAGTAGCCCCGAAGAAAAAGCAAAAGCCGTAAGCGGGGACTGTCAAGGCAGCCCATCCGCCAACCCAGACCCCGGATTAACCGTTAGTCTTACATGATCTGTTTCACTGCCTCCACGAGCCGGCTGTGGATGGACGAAGGTGCAACGATCATCCCGTAGCAACCAGACAGGGTCCTGCCCAAGCTGCAGTCGACTGGATTACCCGCCAGATCACTAACAGTACATCCGAGTTCTTCGGCGATCAACATGCCACCTGAATGATCCCAAATCTTCGACCGATAGGAAGATTTATGCGGAATTTTGATCATCACATTACAACCCCCCACTGCGATGGCGATGTATCGCAGCTGCGCGGCCCAGAGGTCCGTCGAGGCCGGCCAAGGTGCACCCAAATGCGACGCAAGGCGGGCATGCATGTTCCTGTCGGATGATGTCGCTGACACGCAATCGACAAAATCGATATCTTTCGGGTCCGTAATCTGCGCCTTTGGCTCGATCTTGCGCGAGGGGAGGAGAGCTCCCGTTCCCATTCGCCGAATAAATGCGCCTTGTCCGGCAACGGCGAATACCTGGTGCCCGTAGCCATCTCGGTCGACGATGTTTTCATGAAGGCGACCCGTCTCCAGATTCATATTCGGACAGCCTAAGACGCCAACCTTCTGGTAGCCGTTTTCCACCAGTGACAAACAAACGGCGTACTGCTGACCTTGAATAAAGGTTGCGGTGCCGTCAACGGGGTCCAAAACCCAAGCACGGCTCTGCTTGCTACAGTTGCCCTGAGCACCGAGATCAATCAAATCAAGCATTTCCTCCTTACTGCTCGGAGCGTAGAGCAGCGCATCGCTTTCCTCGTCCGACAGGCGGGTAGAGGAGACCAGCTCCCATGTCCTGTCAAGGAGAGCAGGATCGGATCGAAGAGCATCTGAGCTCTCCTCTCCGACAAACTCATCGTCGGGGAACGCATGGTGAATGGCAGCGATAATCAGTGCCTGTGCAGCAAAATCAGCAATTGTCACTGGGGTGGCGTCATTCTTGTCGAAAGACCCCTTGTCCACAGCTTCCAATAGCTTTTTCGTCAAGAGCGTGGCTCTCTGAACTGTGAGACAGGCAATCTGAAGCTCCTTTGCGTAGGGGTCGGTAGATTCCATGGTAGCCGTATGTACCATACCACTCGATGAGAAATTGAGTTTTCAATTGAGTATCCAGCCAGAATACTTTAGAAAAGATATCTGAGAGGTAGTTCGCCCCAATTAGGCTGCCTTTTCGGTCGTCTTGCGATCAACGGTATCTTGGAGCTCGGAGAAGTTGTTGCAACCTCTTTCGAGACCACACACCGACTAATATCGGATCCAAGGTCTGATGGTGGGGTCTTCCTTGGAGGGGCACCGCTGGTGACGTAGGCGATAGATAGGAGCGACCGACGGAATATCGCCAATTCAGTCCAAGCAAGTTATGTAGAATATTATGTAGTATGAAGGGTGAGCTTTCTCCGTTCAGGATCTGATCTGAAGGGCAAAGGGAGTGGTAACAAGGAGAAAACAGACCGCAGGAATGACTCGAAGATTGAAGCCAGTGGAAGTGATCGCCCCGGCGGAGTGACCGTCTTTCTGTTTCAGGCTAGTGTGACTCAATCGGGTATAGTTGGATCTCCTTCGTTTATCTTATCGGGCCATTCTGCAGACTATCATCATGCCACCCATAAGAGTCACACGTGTTTTATTTGTTAGGTGCTAGTGTTTGAGTCTGTTGCCGGTACAAAATAGAATGTCAACATATAGAAAGTCCAGCCATAGGCCTATTCTTGGATCATCAAAGCCAATCTTATTAATCTGTGGTATATAGGCAAGGTCCCTTGCCAACACTTGGAGCCTCAGACATCTATTCCATTACAAAATGGAGTATTGGTTACTCTGTAATCTTGTCCAATGCCACAATAAACCGACACAGGAAACCTGACCACATATAAGCCTCACTAGTTAGCCAGAATTATCTGCTAGACACGGTAACAACGTAAAATCATGAAGGACACTAGAATTGAGCAAAAGCCAGCTCATAAGCGAAGCCAAGTGTCAACCTCGCATGCTCCAGCATATGATCGAAGCTTAGATACCGGATGCTGTCATCAGTCGTGTGGATCCTCTTGTTGCTGTTTTCCATTTCGGATTCCGTCGCCATAGCTGCGGGATAGCCATATTTGCTTGCGGACGTGTGGTCCGAGCAGGCGTAGCCACATCTGGTTTCGATGTAGCCAATACCACAATACTTTGACAGGAATCGTTAGTTATATGTCTCTCAAGAAAAGAAAAGCGGGAGTGACCTTACCTCAGTAGTGACATCTTTGAGGAATTGTGTCAGTCCCTCATCAACGTAGTCAACCATAATCCCAATGGCTTCTTGACGACCGGCGTCCAGAGCCCCCTGGGTATAGCCAGTCATATCCTGTTGAAGCATCGCCTTGATGTCTCGCTTATCTCTCTTGTATTGAGAGAAGATGGCTTGCGAACCAAGCATACCACCCTCCTCTGCCGAATACCAGTGGAATTCGATTGTGTTGGAAGCGTTGCCCCGGACAATGGCGTCTGACTGCAGCAGACCACGCAAAGCTTCGAGTATAGTCACGGTTCCACTTCCGTCATCATCGGCACCAGGTGCAGCTAGGATAGAGGGGAGGAAAAGATTGATGCTGTCCTGATGTGCACCCAGGACAACAGTTCTGTTAGTCTGGCCTGGGATCCGAGCAATAATACTGAATTGGCCCCATGAGTGAGCGAACTGCTCCACAGTGGCGCCGTACTTCGCTGCACCAGACTGTTCAATGACATCGGAAACCCTACTGTATAGCCACTTTGCGGACTCAATACCAGTGGACGACCTATAGTAGCGAGTGTGAAACGAGGTGAATTTGTTGAGGTTTTGCTCCATGTTGTCCTTGGAGAGACCCCGCAGAAGGGGAACCACCTTCTCCGCATGCTTCATCGTCGGCGGATAGTGAACATAGCTACCAGCATGCAACGTTGGGTAGAATCCAGTGTTTCGTTCCTCAGTAATATCAATGAAGTTCACGCCATCCTAATGGAACATTCGCAGAGCAATTAGTAAGATGTGCTATTGTGACAGTAATGAAATGGGGAAATGTTGCTATACCAGTTTCAAGTCCCACTTTTCTTCCTCGGTAACCCATCTCGTCTGATAAGGAGCCAACTCGATCAAGAACTTCTCCTGATGATGATGAGTTGGGGGATCTTGGGGGGTTATCAGCGGTTCTTGCTGCGGTACAACAGCAGCCAACACCCCCGTCGAAGCCGTTGCGCCGAGTGCAAGAGCTATTGAGAGCTTCATGTTGTCTACGAAAAACTACCGGCGAAGGAAGATTGGCGGAGAAGATAGGATATAATATAATAATCAATAATGATGATAGGAAGTCAAGTAGTACAGCTGATGCTGATGAACCTCTGCACTGCAAATGAGCTGTCCAAGGCTGACCCGCCCGAACACCTTTCGGCAATTGATCAGGCTCCAAGGGTCACAGAAGGCCGAGCGCTGAGCTGGGCAAAAATGAAAGGACTGATTTGCAATGTTGACTTAACCGGAGGACTATTCCGATAGGATTCGGGGTGATGCTAGACAGACACGGAGAGGTCGAATTGAATGCAGCCGAACATGCAAGAGGTGAGACCCCCCTTTGAGACCGTTGCGTCAGAGGTGCGCGCGCGGCTTAAATAAGGAACACGCGCTGGTCGCACAACTCATCACTCCTCGACCGCCAAGGATGCCTGTGAGACTCCGGTCCGACTCTCTGCTATCTCGCACTATTGATAGATGGTCTGACTTGACTTGTAGCCAGCCGTTGAATCTTGAATGGTTCCTAGACCGAAAACAAGGCAGTCTAGCCGCCCAGCGGGTCCGTTTACCAGCGTGAAAGCACTCAAGCACTATACTCCATTCCTACTCACCTATAAACACTGGGGGAGGGGGCTCAGCATGCTTTCTTAGACATTGTCAAGGCGGACTCTACTCCTATCGCATATGTCGACCCTTGTACTATGCCATACTAATGTAGGTCCCGTTGTGCGACCGTCACGAGTCCGTGTACCTGAGCCCGGATCATTGCTGGCTGCCGTGAATCGTGGGGTAGGTACCTGAGGCACCAGGATTTTCCTCTTAAGGGGATGTCCCCAACCTAACTTATTGTATGACAACCACCACAGGCAACTACTTTTCGTTTGGTAGGTTCGCAGTTAACCGGGGCTACACAATCCCGCTCGGTATTCGATTTGATCGTAAAAAGGCATCCAATCTTGCCACACGAACAACATACAGTGTTGACCGAAAAAGCTATGGATTTGATGAAGGGCGCGTGTCTGAAAGCCATTGTCTACGGCTGTATTATTGGGACATTTCGCACGCTGCTTTGAAGAGGGATCTACGGAGCAGTCCAGTCCAGTCACCCATACTAGTAGGAGACACACCACAATACCTTGCTGTAAAGTACTTACACAGGCCTGGGGTGAGGAATATCTGAAAGATAAGATGGCAATCCGAGAGTCCCATTTTCCAAGGTTCGAGGGAGTTACATCACCGCCGCGGGAGATGCGGATAGACGCACGTCGCGTGAAGCCAACGGCGCGCGAATCAGGGCGCCACTGGCAGTCACGATGACTCACAGAAGGTTCCTGGCTCAACACCCATTCAGGCAGGTAGGGCTAGGGTAAGCGTCAAGGGCACCAATGACCAGCCATTGAGGATTCTCGTGCCCCAGTGGGAGTCAACTGGTGGATCCGAGCCCGGAATTCTCAGCGCTTACCGTATTGTACCGACTGGGCTCGATCGCCGAACGCGACCGGACTGCAGGCGGTGGTTATCTCCTCTTATCTGTGAGCAGGGCTTCCCTTCGTCCACGCCCCCCCGCCTCCCCCGATTCTTGTCGTCTTCTCCAGAAGTCACTGCCTTAGTGGTCTCTTCCTGGAGTACTACAGAGTACTCGATACTCTCGCCTCAGGCTGCGACACTCTTTCTGTGTTTAACCGCCCCCCATTATCCCGGTTCCCCTGTCCCACAGGCCTACCCGTTATCGACACCCCTCTGAAACCGCGTTGCGCTCTCACCATGGCCATTCATCCGAATTTCCCATCTGAAGTGAACCCGAGAGGATCCCTCTCACCACAGCAGGCTCGCGCTATCTCCGTCTGGACTGAACAGGCAGCTGCATCCTTGGAGAGTCTGACTCTCTCCGAGTCAGTGCCGATCGCCGATTCCAATGTGGCCTTTGCCCAGTCCACTCCTACGCGCGCAGGCGTTCGCGGCACCACAGTCTCGTTATCAATTCCCTTAGATGACCCAGTCCCGACAGCGGGAAGCCCTTCCGCGCCTAAGGTCAAGGTCTTAGGCCAGCCAACCAAGGAGACTCAGGTGGCGTCGGTGACCTTTCGGCGCCGCGAGCCGATTCGCCGTGATAGTCTCAAGAGGCGCGAAGCCTTGTTGAAGGGAAAGGATGGTAGTCGTCGCAGGCAGCGTTGGGAGAATGGTATGTCTTGACATATCGGATATACGCCAGTGGCTGGGCTTCCGCGCTTTTCCTGGGCCGGACGTGCCTTATCATTGCACTCGATAGATGCTGACAGAATGTGCTTTCTTGCAAAGATCGTCTTCTGAACAATCCGTGGGCCGAGCCGCCATCCTCAAAGGATTGGGATATCCAAGCCACTCACACTCGTCACGACCCTTTGCCTTACTACCTTGCACCTCTCTGGGACAATCACTATGCGCATCTGGACCATAGGTCATCCCAGCAGATGGAGACACGGACCGAGAAGCATCGTGTTCCTAAGGAGCTGCGACAGAGACTAAAGCATGCACGTGCAGCACGCGGTATACTTCAAGATATCGAAGAGGACATCAGACAATTCATCCAGCGATGGAACGAGAAGCAAAGTTTACTGAAGCAGGAGGGTCTGGCAGATGCCCCGCAATCATCCGACAGTGAATCTGAAGATGAGATCGTGTTTGTGGGTCGAAACGGCCTGATGCACGACTCGCCTCAGAGAAGAGCAAGACTCCAAAAGATGCGTGAGGCAATGAGTGCTCATCATGAGCATGATGGGCAGAAGATGGTGTTTGAGAGCCTGGTCGACGACCGGGCAGCTGGATTCGGGTAAGTGTAGACTCACCTATTCAAATCGCCGATCCATGCTTACCATAATGTTCTCACCTTCAGTCGCTGGCTCGTCCATTCCATCGCGTCGTATTATGGCCTGCACACTTGGTCTGTCACCGTCGGGGAACCTGCCCGCCGCGAGGCTTACGTTGGCTTCTATCCGCCAGCCCCAAGCAGTCGAGCAGGACCCATATCCCCACCGGCCGGATCGAAGGCTTGCCGTCAGGAAGCGATGATACAGCCCGGCGACGAACTGCCTCAACCGCTCTGGATGCAGGTTTGAGCTGTTGGTATATGTGTCCATGAACTTGCGGCGAGTTCAAGTTGACCTTCACAACTTCGCAGTCTTATAGAGCTTCGGTGTGTTTGATTCAAAGGGTATGCTTCGGGCAGATTGTAAATTTTATCTCTTGTAATACTGGCGTGAGTGAATTTCTACCGGTACCTGTGGGGATATAGGATCATATACAAGGTAGGATAGACCAAGACCTACAATTGATTTGGGCACATAGGGAAGGTGCGACCCGCATGGACTTGTAGAGTATCTTCATGACGCGATCATCTTCGGATTATTCTTCCCATTTGATTATCAAAATACTGTAGATGGAAGACGATCTCTTCTCTATGATCAATCTCTTCTTTGCCTGCACCTGGCTCTAGAGCCGTAGTTCCCCCAACTCATCAAATCTGTCTAGAATCGGACCCTGACAGAAGCTGGATATTGATTGGCACGTCCTTTACAAGAAATTTCTAGAGATTTTGGATATACTGGGATAAAATCCCCACGTACCAGTAGTATATGCTTGATGCATAGTTCATATATCATATATATATATATGTAAGTGGACCTATTGAGCTGCATGAATCTATTGTGGTCTTAATAACGAAGTACGAAGAAACTGAACTGACAGTTGCGAAGGTGAATATCAATCCAATGGCAGTGTGGTGAACTAGCTGAAACAGTTCCCTTTGTTTCAACTTACTGACCATATCATATCCTGACGTATGGCAATCTGGCATAATTACTCAGTATTATTCAGGCCGTAGCGAGCAATTGGTACACTTAGTAGCTCAGTTGCTAGCTGCTAATGAGGATACAAGTGCACTCAAACGGGTGTGTTGATCATAATGAAGGTGGATTTTGGTAGTATATCTGGTAGGATGTAGATGGTTGGGAGTAAACTGAGGAGGTTGTTCCAGATATGGTAGGATGATATGATGACACCAGTTAGCATTGGGCATTACTAACTTATGTAACCTCCTATCCCCCTTCCAAGCTCACCTACTTACTATGTGGTATGTACCATAGTGCTAGGTAGTGGGCAGAAACCAAAGTATCTAAAGTTTGATATCATACATACTCATACATACATGTTTACATATCCCATCTGTTTTGTGGAGGAATGAGTGCATCTGCAGTTAGAATATTCATGTCAACAGTACATGGGGAAAATTGACGATCATCAGTAACAATTGCTGAGTAGAAAGCACTCAGTAGATCCTCATCAGGCAGGCATGTTATGTTGGTGATGTTAATGATGTCTCTGGGTGTGACTGTGACGTAGTGGTATGTATCAGCCAAGTCAGTAGCCCCTCCTCCTCCATTCCCCTCCCTTCGAGATAGCTGGCCTGATTCATGAATTGATGAAACTGACCAAGACAGAAAGCCAATTGTCAGTGTCAGTGCCAGTGGAATTGTTGGAATTTTGGAATCTTGTACCACCGTCAGCCGTCAGCTTGCTTACATTTGATCTACGATACCGGTTTTAGGTCGGTCCGATAGTTCCGGGTCTAGATGGTCTAAATGACGCTACTATGCACCAGGCTGTCACTGAGAGAAGAATAGTATGTCAAGGTTGCTGTTGACAGCGTGGATATTGTGTAGGGGGGAATTCATGGAAGAGATTGAAGTACAACAATGAGTGTGACGTACAACGATAGACAAACAGTGTCTCGTACTTCTGATGTTGGTTCTGCAACAGCAGATCACTCCAAACCTCGGGTGCATGTATGGTGCAAGGGACTGGGTATCATCTCCGACTAGTAATGTGTATTGCATATTTACCTGGTTGGGAAGTGTCCGATGGTTGCTTAAATTAGTAGTAGACTGCACTGATGCCTTGGGGTCGCTATCTCCCGTCCGCACAATGGATTGATTGGCGAGAAAAGGGAGAAAGATGATCACAATTTCAGGTGTCCATTTAAGCGACTGTGGAATGTCGAACCATCTCCGATTTTTCCTATGGAGAAGGGTGAGAGAAGAAACTCCATCAGAATCCATAGACAAGCGAAGGCAAGGGCACTGACCGCGCCCCACTTGGGAGGCCCCATCGTTGTGGGGGTCGTCAAGGAGAGAAACCGGAAATAGGGTTCGTGTTTGAGTTTTTGGGTGGGAAAAAGACAACACAGAACCCCCCCGAGCCCGGAATCCATCTCCCCACGTCTTCGCCTCCAAAAGCCGCCTCTTCTCACATGGAAATCCCCGGTGATCTGTATATCTGAGGTGTCGCACCACTTTTACACTCAACTTGGCTAGAGATGTGGCGAGACTGATCGGATTGCCTGAAGGGGGAGACACAAGAGAGAGGCAGAGCATGGGCGATTATTCATTCGGTCCGATCCGAAGAGGCGACCCCAGTCGATTCCATGGTACTGTTTCCCACCGTTGGGTCACTAAGTACTGTATAGTCAGGCATCGATCTGATAGATGTTGTGGACTTGACCATTGGTATTTTCCAGGCTTTTTACCTTTGTTTTTCTTTTCTCCTTGTCTCCGGTGACAAAGTACTATTCTCCCACTGCAAGAAAAAGAAAAGCTAAGCAGATGAATTGTTTGTTGATAGGTTGTCGGCCATTCTCCATTCAGCGTTCGGTCAGCAATGAATATTTCCCAATCCACACCGCGTGCGAAGTACCAAGTAAGTCGCAAATTTCCTGCAGGGACAACGCCCAGTCTGCGCCGGATCGTGTCTTCCGTCGACCTTCTTTGACGCGATTACAACTATACGATGGAATTCGCATACAAACAGGCTTTGACTGTCTTGGGCTGTATACAGCACCAGTCGGGAAATGTCCACATCTGGGAGTCTCGGAGAATATCCTGGACGCACTGGAGAAAAAGGAAAAAGACCTACCGAGAAATGCCCTTGCAAGGGAAAGGTAACTCAAGATAAGCAGTCTAAACCTTGTCTGGGCGATTCTAGAACCTCGTGGTCGTAGCGGTCGGAATAAGGCACGAGTCATCCCAATTAGGCTGATGAAGTAGCAGCCATAGTCTGTTTGAGAAATAATTATGATGATACCTGGGGCTCTGTAGATGCGCATGGATTGTCTTCGCAGTTGAAGTCTCTTGGTAGTAGCACTACCGTCAGCCAAGGTCCCAAGGGCAAGGCTGTAGGCAGAATCCTTGCTGATCATTCAGCCAGACTTACCTGGAAGAATTGTGTATCGCTTGGATCTGCTGATTCCGGGGGACAACGAGGATATTGCCAGCATCACCAGCACAGCATCATCCGCACTATTAGCGTGGGCGAGGAAGAAGTAAAGCAATCTGAAACTTTCTCCCGTAGATAAAGTTTAATGCTTCTTAATTTTTTTTTTTTTTTTTTTTTTTATTCACTCTCTTTTTCTTTCCTTTTCTGTTCGAAGGAACAAATTCCGATGACCAAAAAAGGAAGAAAAGAAGCACCAGGTCAACCAACAGGAATGTGCGAGAAGAGAGCAGTGAGAGATGGCCAAGTCAGTCAGTCCGTCAGTTGTTGGCTGGTTGGTTCTCCGCTGGCCGACGTGGCTGCCCTCGCCAGGCGTTCCTTTTCCCATCCTTCATTCCGTGCTTTTTGCCCTTTGGTTCTCTTCCGTTGCGACGGACTTTCTTGCGCCACGCGCATTTCCCTCCCACTTACTATACTTGTATGGAGGTGGGAGGATGCCGTGTGTCATCTCGGTCGCTTCATACCCTGAAACCCTCCCCTTGTGCTGCAAAGCCTGGCGTCATCTGCTATGATCCACGGCCCCCTTCCACATTCCCTCCATTCATTCGCTTCTCACCCCTCGGATTGTTCCAGGGCTGAGTTCACAGCCTGATCTTGACCTCGGATTCCTGCCTGCTCTTTGTCCCGATTCACGATTACGGTTCCTATTATTATTCTACACCCGTGTTTATTCTCACGCCAACTCCCTCCCCTCCAATCCCTCTCCCTCTCCCTCTATCCGCTCGATCTCGCCTGTCCCTTTCGCCGAAACACCCCCCTCCTCTTCATCTGACCAAATTATCCTGCTCTTGGATTGAAATTTGCCTCATTGTGCACTGCTCTTCCCGAATCTCCTCACCTACGGACTCTGAGACTGCTGGGGCTTTTGTGCGGGAAAGTTGCTTGGACCACGAGATCAGGCTATGATTGAAATACATATTTATCCCTACCTCATCCTGTTTGCTTAACTCGCTACCACCACTCTTTTCACCTTCCCACCCCCTACTATATGCAACTTATCCCTTAAGCTTGCCTGGATTAGGAATTAAGTGCTACTGTCGGATCGGCTCGGGTATTGAAACAGTCTCTTGTCACTCTTCGACAAGCCAGAACGATACCCAAAACTATACGCCACCATCCTTGCACGTCCGCTTGGTTATTATCGCTTCACAACCTATCCGACGGCGCCCCCTATCACATTAGCGCCGTCATGGGATCCCACGGTGCATCGTCTTACCGGAATGGTTCGAGGACCGGTGGCAGTTCCAGTTCCACTAACAGTGATGTCTCGGAACGCTCGAAAAGCACGGCCCCTACGATCTACAGCGATCGACCCACTCCCCTTCACCGAGGAGGCATAGACATGGACATTTACGATGAAGAAGATCCTAAAGCCTCAGTGTCGACCTACGCCTCTACGGTCCCGTCGGAAGATGATCCCCCAGAGACCCCGCGCTACGAAGTAATCGACCGTCAGCTGGACGTTTTCTCAACAGATGTTGTCCCTTCCGACCCGTCGACTTTTGGGCAGCTATTCCCGTCCTCTCGACGACTCCTGATTCGACACGACGATGCAACACTCGATGGAAACATGAACCTCCGCGTCGACACGATGGTGCCGCAAAGAGGTGGATATCAGCAAGATGTAACTTTGTTCCATCTTCGCATGTATGACCTGTTTACGCGAAAGTGCTCCTTCCGACGCTACTGTCGAGACTCTGGGCGGGAAGTGTGCCACTCCGAACGACGGCCTGTCGCGTCGAGTTCGGACAGGCATCCGGTGTTTCGACGGTCTTGGGGTAGTGTGTTGGCTAGCTTGCGGCCGGGTTCAAGTGGCCACGGATCACTGCCTAGCCACGAACATAAGCGCCAGGACTCCGGCTATAGGTCGGCGGAAGATGATGATGAATCTTTTGAGGACAAGCCCTCCGACCACAGAGGTGGTTGGGATCGCCATTTTGTGCTCACCGATAGCACTTTATTGGAATTTTCCAACTATGCTCACGTAGAGCTGAGGCGCCGGGGTGCAGGTCTCTCCAAGCGATATGAGTTTGAGTACTGGTCGACACGGTACCAATGGAGACGCGAGTGTCGGAAAGAGGGAGACTTGCGCGAAGTCTCCTATCACTTGGTTAACACGCGCACATCCAAGACCGTCGCTCATATTGTCCCAGAGATCCTGACACCGATGGAAGCAGCTGAGGAGGAGAAAAAGGGCGGATGGGTTCCACCATCATCCATGTGGATCAGCGACCCGTCAGTGTATGAGAAGATGCCCGACGTCGCCGAGTAAGTAACTCCCCTCTCTTTAGTGTCGGGTCGATGGTCTTCCTTTTTAGAGTTTGGGGCTGACTAGTGTACAGTGTGTTTGTTGCCACAGGCCTAGTATCCCTAGTTGATGATTGCATCCGACGCCGATGGCACACGAAGAGACACACCCAATTCATCCAGCCGATGCGATCAACCCTTTCGAAGAGTATTGAGCTCATGGGTCCCCGGCGATTTCTCGATGAGGTGTTCCACCGACGAGGGTCCGCATGAAGAATGATAGGCTATCGATGGAGGAAGAACGGATGGTCAAAGGCGACACGGCGGCAACACGTCATGCCATCGTGTTGTGAGGGGAAAGACCGGTTTGCAAACCGGCGCACTTTCATTGACAGGGGTTCGCTAGCCGACCACTTGGCTCTAACGACGATAACGACCGCAAATGATGATGGGATTTTCTATTACTTTGTTTTTCTTTCTTTTTTTAATTGGGATTTGGCAGGGGGGGTTTCGCATTGAATTTTGGTTGGTCCATGTGCTCTAAATTTTTCTTGTTTACTTCTTCCTGGTATTTGCGCAGTTGGAAGAGGAGTGGGGGTGGTACATTTGGGCGGTTGCCGGAAGGACAGACCGGCATGATTGGCGATGATGTGTTACAGGAACCCGAGGGTCGTGCAGGTTCGGATGAGGGGGGTGGATGGTGGTGTTGGTGGTGGTGGTGATGATTGCTGGATGTAGTTTAGTAGTTTACTTACTACTTAGCAGTACTAAGTAGTACTAGGCAAGCAAGTGGGTGGTGTGAACCTGAGTTGGCTGCCTGTTTCAGCCTCACCTTTCCTTCTCTCTGCTGGCATCTTCCTGGTACTATTTTGAATTATGATCAGCATTGAACTTGGGGATGACGCTTGCGCATGTCAGTTTAGAATGCTGCATATCTCATGAACCTAATGCCCAGCCAGCCACCTTGGACCTTTTTTAGCCAGCTACTAGCTAGCTGTCGACTCTTGCTGTCCCGGCCGGGGAACAGGACCCGCGATTATAGTTCGTTCCTTGTCTGCCTGACTTGTTCAACCCCTGGTCTGGACCAGATCAGATGGCAAGCGAAGAGGACAGCATGCATGATCTGGCTAGGCTTGGAATGGGAAGATAAAAAAAAAAAAAAAAAAAAAAAAAAAAAAAAAAAAAAAAAAAAAAAAAAAAAAAAAAAAAAAAAAAAAAAAAAAAAAAAAAAAAAGAAAAAAAAAAAAAAAACCAGAAGATACTGCTGTGCTGATGAATGTACACCACAAGAGGGAATCGATGGTGGAATGAATGGCAGCCAGGTACACACCAACCCTCTGTAGGGATACTATTCCAAGATGTTACCGGAGAGTGACATGATTACTGGAACCTTGATAACTTCTTCTATTTTCGGTCTAATGTCTCAACCACCTGTTAAAACAATCGTTCTATTATCCTACTCAACTCCATCTCCGGATGAAACTCCTCTCCAAGACACGATGCGGGGCAGATCGAGGCTCGTCGCCAAAAAAGAAACGCAACGGCGCGTCGAATCAACGGGCTGGTCGCCGCCTCGAAAAGCGGTTCGTGGAAACGTTCCAGCCTTCCCCGTTGTTTGGCGCGCTGGTTATCAATCTTGCTTGCTTATGCAGGTTCTTCATCACTTTCCACGATTTCCTTGCTGCTTCCAATAAACTAACAGAGAAATAATTATTAACACAACCCCCCCGGTCTCTTTTTCCCCCCTTCCCTTTCCCCTCTAAGGTGGTTCGCAAGTAGTTGCATATTGCAAGCGAAGAGAGATTGAATCGAAATGATGCACGTATGAATGCCCAACACAATGCCAGAGGAAAGCAACGAATCATGGCATCTCTACTACCGGAAATGGCCTGGGTCAAGCATACCCAGCTCGCTCTTCGCTGGCAATTTGTGTCTCCCTCAGAGTGATTCTGGTGCACAAGCTGGCCTTCCAACACTGTTTTCTGTTTTCAGACCCCTGCTGAAGGTTTCGTTTTTTACCCCTTCCGGATTATAGTGATGCCATCGAGCAAGCTCTGGCCACCCTGGACTCTGCAGCCCCCTTCCCGATAACAAGTACCCATGCAGAGCGGCCCGGTCAATGACCGTTTTGTTCTAGGGCTGAGGGTACCATTTGATGGGTCTAAAATTGACAATGGCTCGAATTTTTATGATTCGAGTCTTTTGATGAGCTGGCACGGTGGTCTTTGGGCCCGCTTTCAATATTCTGAGTGGCCCAACTGGTCAACATAAAATCATACTCTGGTTTCGATTCGTCGCCATTCGGTCTATGGGTCCCTCCTCCGCTTTTGGGCAACTACTACTAGGCCTTCCCAGGTTCCCCGTCAACCGTCCCATGTCTTCCAGAAAGAGACGGACCTCCTTCCTGAAGAGCGTCTATGAGGCGAGTGGCTTGTTCCTACCCGATGTATACATCGTTTGCGGGACAGGAGAAGCAGAACTCGAGCCACGAAGACCGGGAGTCCAGGCGTCCTTTCTGAGTTGTCAAACAACAATGACTACGAACTGGCAGATTTTCTGCTTTTACCCCCTGTATCACAGCTTCATTTCTTTGTCTTGGATTATCCCCCATCCCCCCCCTGTCTGTCAGTAGATCTGGCCTGTGTGGAGACTAGCGGTCCTATTCCCTGTCTCCTGGCGTTTCTTCAAGGGCACACATTCAATCGGCGTGCGCCGGCCCGTTCCAGCTTGCAGCCTCAAAATGATCCGCATGTACTCCATGCAACTGGCGTTCCCTGAGTGGAGGGGGATAAGGAGGGGGAGAAATTGCTGACACTGTGCCATGTCCACATCGGCATGCATAAGCCCGTCCGTTAGGTTTGATGATTAGGTTCCGTGTTTGTCACGCCAAATTGGACTTGCTTGCACAGTGACATTTCGGGGTTTGGGAGGGTATGGCCCACAGTTTATATGACTCCCCGCTTCCCAGGTCTATCGACGCTGTTCGATTGAAAGAGCAGACCAGTTCGCAAATCCCCCAAGCAAAGTCAAGACAAAGCAACAAGGACTGGCAAATATTTTTCTATCTTTCATCTGAACCATCATTAGTCCCACTCAATTCTACTTTGAAGATCTGACCATCCATTGGTGTTGTGTGGTCGAAAACCCCTCTTCCCATTATTTTCAATTACTCAGGGTGTGAAGTATTGTCTGCCGTGCGAGAGAGTTTTGTTCTCCAACCGTTGTGGGATATCGAACCCAATTCAGATCTGCGCTTTGATTTCTCTTTGGTGAAAATCAAAGCCAGTCATTCTCACCAATTGTTTTCTTCTACTACGAAAACGGAAACACAGACATCCTTCATCATGGCCACCAAGACTTCGCAGGCCGCAAAGGAAAGCAGGCATTGGCAGGACAGACTTGAAAGTATGCCCCACTCCGCTGCAATAATCTTCCTCTCTGCACTTTCGACTTAGCCGTGACGGCGGCCCCCTTCTTCTGTCAGATAACTAACCCTGACTTCTCACAAAGTATACTGCTTTGAGAACAAGTTGAAGGAGCCGATTTACAATTACGATTCCGATCGTCGAGGTGAGAAGCTCTTTTCTTCGTATCTCCCAGCCTTCGACTCTCCTGGTTACCCCTCGTTGCTGGAGTTCCATGTCCCTTCCTTGCCCCTCATTGCTTGCTGTTGTCCACTGTGTGCTTGTGATGGTGAAGCTAAGCTGTGCTTCACCGACTTTTGAGCCTTCCCAAGTCAAACAAAAGATCGGGTTATACTGACGGGTGTGTCGCTGTTCAGGAGGTCGCACAGCTTGGACCTCCAAGGTCACCGTTCAGCACCATGTCCCGAATATTCCGTGGATAATTCCGGGACGATACTTCTTCGACGGTCATAACAATGCCCGAGAAGATGCTGCCGAGGTCGCTTATAGGGCGTTGACCAAGACCAGCAACCCCTGATGTCCGTCGAGAGGCTGTATTTCTAGATCTTGTCTGGATGTTCACCAGGAGAATGACTCATGTCTCTCTCCTTTCCCTCGCTCTCGTCTACTCCGGTTCTTTTTATTTCTTTTTATGCTCAGGTTGCATGTTATGTACGACGCTATCCGGACTGATGCCTACTCCTCGGGTCTCGCAGATATGTACAACATTTCGGATGTCGACAATGAACCTTTCCTTCTTCGTTCTCGAGACTTGTTTGCTTCTCTCCCGCTCGATTCCCTTGATTATTTTCCCAACGCAGAATGGCACGACAACAGTATGGGGTGGATTGTGGACATGGCTGAGGTTCACTTCCTGCGGGAAGACGGTTACCGTTGAGCGGATGAACCTTGGCCCCTGACTGTTCTGCGGTGCCCCTGCCGTATTCGGCTCGGATGGTCCGGTCATATTGATTTGATTCATGCCGCAGGCGGCGAGCGCATCTGACAGTCCTGTTATCATATTCACCAGTTCTCTAAAACAGACAGTCGGGCCCCGGTCGAATGCTATAGGACGACAGAACAGATTCGTGCGAGGTGTGAGTTTTTTGTCAGTTTGATCGAGCTCGTTTTGAGGCCCTTATTCTCTTTCCTCCTTCATCATGGCAGCGACCCAGACTGCCAGTCTTCTTTTATTTATTTATTTTTTCTTCCTCCCTATGCCCGCTCAGCCATCTGTGGCCAATTCCGACGAAGTAGAAATGCGCCCATCGCTCATGCACCCTAGACAAGCGATCGCCCAATGCGGAGCAGAAGCGGTTTGTCGTGCGCCAGCTGAATGCAGACAGGGGAAAATTGACAAAACCAAAAGAAAAAAAAATTGTTCGTCTTCTTTTGCTTATCGTTTCTCACAGCGTTTATGGGCGGAGTTGAGGGATCTTCTCGGGAATTGTTTCTTTTCAATTAATCCAGACCGTTGTGTCTTTTTCTGAGGCAGTGTCTGGTTGGGAAAGCCCTTCCATGAATGAGTGTACAGACTAATGTCTACCGGGATTGATATTTTTTTTATTGTCTCGTTTACTTTTGAATGAAGTCATGCCATCAATCTAAATTTTGGTTATTTTACTATTTGGGCGCTGAGCAGTTCCTCAAGGGCAGTCAGCGCTAAGTGAAGAAAAGAAAAGTGGGAGACCCTCAGGTCCCACCGCCAGTTCGGGAGTTTTGTCAGACGCGGAATATCCACAGCACCCAAACCCCTGGGATACCAGGTTGGATAGTGCTTAGCGGGTGATTCAGTAGTGATTGCTGGCCCCTATACCTCCAGGGGATGCTGAATATTGGCAAACCAAACCTCTGTTTTAGCAGCCCGTCATGGCCCTGAGCTTAACCTTATTTCCCTCACGTGTTGTGCCCGCCCGCCCGCCAGTCTCTCCGGTTCCATGGTTCACATGCCAATCATTCATTTATTATTCTCCGTGTGACCCGCGCACCCTTCCACCATACGGTAGATAGCAATTATGCCATTCAGGGCTTCACTAGGGCCCTCCTGGAAAAAACCCAGCAGAGAGAATTACGAATGGTTGTGTCCCAAGACCCGCTGGAATACTTGTTTTCTGCGCGTCTTATTGTCCAGAACTAACTGCCTTTTTCTTGCTAGTCCCTTTTTCTTTTTTTTTTTTTTTTTTTTTTTTTTTTTTTTTTTTTTTTTTTTTTTTTTTTTTTTTTTTTTTTTTTTTTTTTTGGCACTAGCATGACTCGTTCACCGTCTTACTTCGCGAGACTTACGCAAGAAATACTCGGATGCGAAATGGGTTGCTGAGGAGTGCTGGAATTAATTCTGAGCTCGAGTTCTCCAGGGGATGACCTGAGAAGAATTGATGCAGCGGATATGAAAAATCGATGCTGGTGAGTACTATTCCCTTCGACACAGGAGTTGACCCTCGCCAGGCTGACAGACCCTAACTTCAAATATATATTCATGGTATACTAAGCTGTTAAGCACGCAGTGATTCAATCAATTAATTAATCAATAAGCGAACCTCTCACCCCCCTTGGCCCACTTGTTCCTCCATCCATAATACAGTCGCAGCAGAATGCATCCCGTCGTGACCATCAGCAGCAGCGCCGCATTCGTCCAATGTCCCGTCGGATAACCCTTCTTCTCCTCGTCGGACTTATAAATCCATACCCCTACAATCTGTCCCGGCGCCCCGAATGACACGTTCAATGCAATGGCTAGGCCGGTCCCTGCTGTGGAGCGGATATTGGCAGATAGCCAGCCGAGTAATGGCGGGATGCAGGCAAAGGAGCCGCTAGCTGCGACTACGAGACATCCGTATCGGTGCTGTTGCAGGAATTAGCGGGGTGGTCGTTTGGATAAAGGCTGGATTGGGATGGATGCTTGCGCGTACCAAGTATGCGTCTGCGGGAAGGACGGCAGATGCGAGGAAGCCCATGGCTCCGATAAACGCAAAGAGGGCGGAATGCAGACCACGGCTGTGTTTCGGTTCATACATCAGTACTACACTGGAAGGAAGCAGATGGCTACATACCTGTTGAAGTAGTCAGCGGACCATGCAACGACCGTGGTCACCACATAGGCAGCAGCCCATGGTGGTACTGTCATGAGTTGGGCCCGCAGATCCGCATATCCCAGGCCACTGACGATGGCAGGGGTAAACAGGGAAAGACTAGAGAATGGGGTCGAGATGCCGAAATACACCTATACCAAGCATTGTTAGGGCCTGTCGCTGAGTTGCGCTGGGGGACTAACTATATAGTGCGCGTATAGTCTCCAATCCGTCAGGATCTCCTTCGCTTCTTCCCAGCTCATGGCCTTGGCCGCCCCATGGGAGCCTTCCTCTTTCAGTCTGTGAATAGCAAGAGCCTTCTCTTCCGGGCTGAGCCACGAAGCCGACTCGGGATAGTCAGGGAGGAAGAACCAAACGAGAAAAGCCGAGGCGCACGACGGAGCACCTTCGATGATGAACAGCCATCGCCAGGCTGATAGGCCGCGAACCTCGTTCATATGTCCTACTCCGTAGGCAATGGCGCCGCCAAAAGCACCCGCGAGAGTGGCGGACGCTAGGATGAGAGCAACACGCATGGACCGCTCTGAATTGCGATACCAGAAGGTCAGGTAGTATACGAGTCCGGGGAAGAGACCGGCCTCCGTGGCTGTCATGTCAGGGTCAGCAGATTCCACAAAAGTCAATTGAGCACTATCTTCGTTAATTACCTCCGAGCAGGAATCGGATACCAGTTACTTGGGAGAAATTGTGCGAGCCGCCCAAGCCCATTGTGGTAGCTCCCCAGGCTAGCATGAGGAAACCGATCCATCTCTGTTTGTGTTAGCCAATCCCCGAAAGCAATGGGGTGACTTACACTGGGCTTCAACTTCTTGAGAAGATAGTTGGAAGGCACTTCGAACAGCGCATACGCGATCAAGAACACCATGAGTGCGACACTGCATGATTAGCACTCGCGCAGTCGATTTGACAGCAGATACCTACGTGTACTGGTACGAAGTCATATGGGTCTCCGAGAGCAGATCATTGCCGGTATCTTGGTTGAGGATTTTGGCATTTCCTGGTCTGTCAGCACACTATACTGCATGCCCTAGGATGTCAATTACCTATGTTGGAACGATCCAGATAGCAAAGAAGATAGATGCCCGCGCAGAGTGGCACAATGCGCAAGTCTTGCTTCCAGACCAGAGCTTTCTCACGGATGCCGAGATCTATCCCAGAGTAGCTCTCCTGGGTTACCTAAATCGCCATTAGGAGTCTGTAAATTGAAGGAGAGGAGAGTTAGGAAGCTCACCTGCGGAGCAGCTTCAATATCCTGCACGCTCTCAGCGTGGTCCAAGTCCTTTTCCCCACTCATCATAGTGTCTTGGGCGAGAAATGACTGCCGTGCAGCTCAAAAATGATGAATCAGTAGCAGCGCCCCTTGTCACAATAGATCGTTGCGTAAACCTCCGTGACTCAACCATGCGTCAAAGGGAGACCGACAGGAAAAGAGAGCGCAGAAAAGTCCAGGCGAGAAGACCGACAGACCGGCTGACTCCAACTCAGTTCAGCTCAACTAGCCCCGAATCGGAGGCAGACCGCCATCCCCAAAGGCTACTTCAGCTGCATGGCTGCTTGCTAGTGGCTGATCGGCAAAATTGGCTCAGTTGAGCGGAAGTTCTTTTTGCTGCGGGCGTCAGTCAGGCGGGTATGCAAGGTTTGTGTGCCGTTGATTGATTGGAACGATTGGGCCTGTAATCTTTCATTTCCTTGAGCAGCTGATGATTGAACTCGTAGGTAGACGTGGGGGATAATTGGACTTCCATGTGGAGGATAGATAGGCTTCTCCAGGGAATCCTCCAGATTGATTGACCTCCGCAGGGACCGGCAATACTTGGAAATGGAGGAGACGGAGTAAATGCGGGGAAGATGTCTGTATTGTAATTATGTATGGCTATTACAGCATTCTTGGTATAATACCACCCAAGTGCAAAACATACAAACAAGACAAACATCACTGATATTGATCCAAGACAAGAAAGACAAAAAGAGTCGCTGACAGACAGAAAAGTGACATGCTTCCTGGTGGTTCATGAATGTATGCTCGATTCACCCCGCAGAATTGGATGAGAAGCTGCCGCTCAGGCACCAGACTATCCATCACCCCAACAGCCTCTTATAATTTGGCAGCAACCGCAGGCCGTGCCCGCATCATCCCCTCTTCAGCTCCAGCTCCGAGCGGGGCTCCTACTATCGCAACCATGTCGACTGCCACACCCCCGGCCACGCGCAAACCCATGCCCTCGGCATTGACCTTTGATTTGCATGCTAAGTGTTCAGTATGCTAGTTATTCCAATCCTGTTGAGAGTCTAATCGTATGCTGACTACTATCTATACCTAGACAACAAAAGCACGTGCCAGTACCCTCCGCCTCCCCCATGGCGATGTCCCCCTCCCTATCTTCATGCCCGTGGCGACACAGGCGTCTTTGAAGGGCTTGACGTACGACCAGCTCCGACAGACGGGATGCCAGCTCTGTCTGAATAATACCTACCACCTTGGATTGAAACCCGGACAGGCGGTGCTGGATGCCGTAGGCGGGGCGCATAAGTTGCAGGGATGGGACCGAAATATTCTTACAGATAGTGGAGGGTGCGCTGCCAATGATATCTCGGTGAATGAAACATTTGACTGACGGAGGCAGATTCCAAATGGTGTCCTTGCTTAAACTTGCGACAGTCACAGAGGAGGGTGTACGGTTTTTGAGTCCTCATGATGGCACACCGATGTTCGTTATCCCTTTCTTTGGGTAAACTGTGTGGTAGCTGGCGAAGCTAAAAACATTGACAGGCTGCTCACGCCCGAGCATTCCATCTCGTTACAAAACTCGATCGGATCCGATATCATCATGCAATTGGACGACGTGATCGCGACCACTTCGCCAGACCAAGCGAGAATCCACGAAGCCATGGAGCGTTCCGTTCGCTGGCTGGACCGTTGTATCGACGCACACAAGTACCCCGAGAGACAGAATCTGTTTTGCATCATCCAGGGTGGACTGGATTTGGAAATGCGGAAACAATGCTGCGAGGAGATGGTGGCGCGAGATACACCGGGAATTGCCATTGGTGGTCTCTCTGGTGGTGAGGCGAAGGAGGACTTTTGCAAGGTGTATGTTATACCCTTTATCCATGTGGGTTCCGGCTGACAAGATAGGGTGGATACTTGCACGGGACTGCTCCCGGAGAAGAAGCCGCGATATGTGATGGGAGTGGTAAGTTATTCATTCAGCGGGTGTATGTTATAGGCTGACCTGGTTAGGGCTATCCCGAGGACTTGATCATGGGAGTTGCGCTCGGCGCGGACATGTTTGACTGTGTCTGGCCGACACGGACGGCTGTACGTCTAGTATCCCTATCCGATGTACTCCAACTAATTGATATAGCGCTTCGGAAACGCTGTGGTTCCGACAGGTACATTGAACCTGCGACACCGGTCTTTCGCAGAGGACTTCCGGCCGGTGCAGGAGGGCTGCACCTGCAGCATCTGTCTACCGAAGGAGCAGGGCGGACTGGGCATTACGCGAGCATACCTGCACCATTTGGCGGCGAAGGAGACCGTGGGAGCACATCTGTGAGTTGATCTGCGATATTTTCTCTGATCTATACTAATTAACTATCAGGCTTACAATGCACAACGTGCACTATCTGCTGTCGCTGATGGGATCGGCGCGGCAGGCGATCATCGAGGACCGGTTCCCGGCGTTCTTGCGTGACTTCTTCAAAAATTTGTATGGAGAGAAGACAAATTATCCGGAGTGGGTAGTGACGGCTCTGCGGGGGGTGGGAGTAGATTTGATGGAGTAATAGATACCAGAATAGAGCAGAGTCGTATGCCACTCTCCATCTATAAGATCTTACTTTCTACTTCCGAGTTCGGATATTACATCCGTGACGCGATCACATGACCTCGTGGCGCGTCGCGGGCGCGTCAATCCATCATTTACTCCAACCATCCCACTTCACACCAGACATTCTACACATAATCACTTATACCCAACTATACCAAAATACCACGACACACAAAACACCAAAAATAGCCACTACATAGAACTATAACAACATGTCCCCCTCAGCCGAAACTCTCCCCACACAGGAGTCTACTCCTCAACCCACCACCACCACCACAACCACCCCCCAAGAACCTATTCCCCATGACCCAACCCACGAAGAACACCAATACCTAAACCTGATCCGCCGCATCCTCAGCGAAGGCGAGCACCGCCCCGACCGCACGGGCACCGGAACCCGCTCGATCTTCGCCCCTCCACAGATGCGCTTCTCGCTCTCGAAACCCTCCACCAACACGACCACCGGAATCAAAGAATACGCCCCGATCCTCCCCCTCCTCACTACCAAGCGCGTCTTCCTGCGCGCCGTCCTCGCCGAACTCCTCTGGTTCATCTCCGGCACGACCTCCTCCCTGCCCCTCAGCGAAGCCGGGATCAAGATCTGGGATGGCAATGGCTCCCGCGAATACCTCGACAAAGTCGGTCTTTCGCACCGCGAAGTCGGCGACCTTGGTCCCGTGTACGGCTTCCAGTGGAGACATTTCGGGGCGGAATATGTCGACGCCAAAACGGATTACTCCGGTCAGGGAGTCGATCAGTTAGCCGAGGTGGTCAAGAAATTGAAGGAGAACCCGTTCGATCGCAGGATTATTATGTCTGCGTGGAATCCCAAGGATATGAGGATTATGGCCCTGCCGCCGTGTCATATGTTTGCGCAGTTTTATGTCCGCTTTCCCGATGCGAAGAGGGATGAGGAGGGTGTTGTGAGGGATGGGGAGTGGGGGAGGGGCCATTTGGATTGTTTGTTGTATCAGAGGAGTGCGGATATGGGGCTCGGGGTGCCGTTCAATATTGCTTCTTATGCGTTGTTGACGCATTTGTTGGCCCATGCCGTGGATATGGTTCCCGGGACGCTGGTGCATACGTTGGGCGATGCGCATGTTTATTTGGATCATGTCGATGCGTTGAAGGAGCAGATTGAGCGCGAGCCGGTGGCGTTTCCGGAGGTGAGGATCAAGAGGGAAGATCGAGGTAGTGGGGTCGTTGATGGTTGGAAAGAGGAGGAGTTTGAGGTGATTGGGTATAAGCCGCATAAGGCGATTAAGATGAAGATGAGCGTGTAGCTGCATCCCATACTTACTCCGTATATAGAGGTAGAACTGTTATAGACAAATATGATTCAAAAATCAAGGGTATATACTCTACATTTCCTCCCCCCGCTCCTCATCTACGCCATAGATCAAACACCCCATTGATCCCCTCCCTCTTGGAGGTAATTATAAAACCACACCCGCCCCCCTCAACAACACAACCGTATCCCCCGACTTCACCCTCCCGCCAACACTCTCCCCAAACTCCAAAAACACGCCCCCCTCCACATGAAACACCCTCAACTTCTCCTCCTCCCCTCCACCTCGATTATTCACGTTCTCCACCTGCAACCGTCTCGCCGCATCATCCAACACCCTCCCCACTTTCCACCTCTCATCATAGAAGAACTCCCCCCTGGGCGGATCCGTCGCCGGCTTATTCGTCGTCTCGCTCGTGCCCACAACATGTAAATAGATCCGTTTCTCAGCGGGAACGTTATTGTCCCCCTTGGCGGTGCGTTTCAAGGTATTCAGTTGGACCGCGCGGCTCGGTGGTTTCCTACTACTACTACCACCAGTCGATGTAGAGGAGGTAGGTTGTTTCCCCCAAGCGCGCAACTTCCCAAACATGGACTTCAATGTATCCGTCCCTCCACCTGCTGCACTCCCTCCTCTGGCACCATTCCTATTATTATTTGAGATAGGCCGACAATCATGACTCTCCCTCAACCTATGTTTGAGACAATACTCCTTCCGGCACTGATCGCACCGCACGCCCGGGTCGGTGAGTGTATTGATGAGCGTTTTGCATGAGATGTGTGCGCATTGATCTGCGGTGTAGATGGTGGGCTTTTGCTGCTGGGTTGTAGATGTGGAGTTGGAGGTGGAGGTGGATGGTGATGGCGAGATACGTGCGTTTGCGCACTGATGCGCTGTTTCGGTGCGGTGCTCGAGACAGTATGTCCCCTTGCAGGAGGGGCAGCGGAACGGGAGGAAATCGAGTTGGTTGCAGGTTGGGAGCGAGCAGTGCGAGCCGATGGCGTCGAGGTCGGCGTCTGCTGCTGCTGCTGCTGCTGCTGATGATGCTGATGATGCTTTTTGGTTGGGGGAGGGGGTGGTGGTGGGTATTGGGGACATTTTGGTATTCTTGAGATAATGGTTGACTGGGAGTGAGAGTTAGGGGAGGGGAATGAGAGAGTTAGGTTATATGAGGGAGTGATTCTCCGTAGATTGGATAAATCGTTAATAATGCTTCTGGCAGATGCTGGAAGCGCCCGCCGGCGGGAGTCATGCGGAGAGGCAAATGACTCAGCGTGGCGGTGCACAACGTTATCTGATCTGGTCGGAGATTGCTCGGAGATATGTGTGGCATTCACTGGATTAATTAATCTGCTAAAATCAATTCCTTAAAGAAGACATAGGAAAACTCCAACACGAGGGGTATATCAAACAATGTCAAAAGTATCAACTCCAACACAAGGAAAATCAATGAGTGAATCACAACAATGATCAATTAATACCTCCTTTCTGCTCCTCCTCCTCCTCCTCCTGCATTCCCCGTACGGTATCTGCAAATGGAATCACCCCGCTCGACATCATCACCGGCAATCCGTCCCGCGCCAATGTCATCCCTGGAGGAGAATACAATGCCGATGGTGGACGGCCTGGTGTCAGCGGCGGCGACATGACCATTCCAGCTGCAGCCTCGGATTCGCCTCTGTCCCAGCGGTTGGTGGTGTTGCTTTCAACTTTGCCCACGGACGGCGGTGACGAGGTCACTGGCGTAACGATCGATGGCTCGTCCTTGGCTTCTGTCTCTGGATAAATAGCCACTGGTGCAGGCTTCGCCGCAGATCGAGATGCCGTCTTTGAAGCCGAGCTTGTCTGTGCCCGGCCAGCGGGCTTGCGAGGCGACTTGGGGGTCTGCATCTGCATCTGTGTCTTCGAAGTAGCCTTGGACGCTGTGCGCTTCCGCTCTTCCGCTATCCGTCTCTCTCTTTCTCTCTCCCTCGCCGCGTTCTCTTCCGGCGACGGGACCTTCAGTTTGATGTGCAGCTTGCGTACTCCGGCTGTCAGACTGTCCAGATCATCTTGGGGTCCATCGGGATTCGGCGACTCTTCGCTTTCTGCAGAAAGAAAAGCAGGCGGCACCCGCGGCACAGGAGGCGTATTTGGGCTCGAGGGTAATCGAGGGGTGCTGGATTGTGAAGTACTGGTCTTGCGCACCGTGGCACTCGTCGCGGGTCTGGGCCCGGTCGGCTCTGGGGTCGATGCTGCTGAGCCAGCCCCTGCGCTCTTCCTGCGGGTCACGCGAGCGGGGGTCTGTACAGCCGGAGCTGTGTCTGGGGCCGTGTCGATGGTGGTTCTCCGACTTCCACGAGCCGCAGGACGCTTGACTGTCTCGGCTGAAGGCGACAGAGGCAGCGAGGGCTTGGGCTTTCGCACGCGGAGTTTCATCCGGCTGTCCTCGGCCGCCGTAGCCGTAGCCGTAGCCGCAGCTGCAGCTGCAACCGCAGCCGTGGTAGCGCTCGTGGAGGCTGCATCCACCGCTGTCTGACGCTCCCGTCGCAGGCGCGATGCCTCTGCGTTGAGTTCCTCTGGCTGACAGCTTGTCGTTTGCCGACCGGTCGGAATTAGAACCTTGCATAGCTCGTGCGTGGCAGTGGCCCAGCTGACTGGCGGGGGTGGAGACGGTGCTTCGGGCTCCGGGCTCGAGTGCGAACCGGTCGACCTGCGGTCTCGCGGGGGATTGACCACTTTGGCAGAAAATGACTGCGTTGTGGTCAAGTAGGTCGGTGCAGCCTTCTCCCGGGGCTTGACAGGTGCTGCCGGCGAATAAACTAGTGCCTCCAATTCCTCCAGCACGCCTGGTGACCACCACTCACTGTTGTAGACCGGTTCAGTCACTGATCGCCCCTCTGCCGAATTAGACAGGCCCAGACGATCTGTCATTTCAGAGGCAAGACGGTTGATCTGCTGCTCGTCCACATCATGGGTGCTGCCCTTTGCATCTCCCAGCCCAGACAAATGACTGAGCACACCGCTTGTCAATGCACGATTGCTGTAGCCACCCTCAAGAACACTGATGATCCGTCCATCTGTCCCCAGGCCCTCCTCGTTGGCCATCCGCACCACGTCGGCCGTGAACCTGGCATAAAACTCGGTGGGCACGTTGACCTGGTGTCGCTGCATGCCGGCGCCCTCCCACTCGCTCGCATCAAACCCGGCTGAAATAAAAATGGCTGCCTTAGGCGGAGGTCCATTAGGCGTGTTAGCCAGACGTTCGGTATGCATGCGCAGGAACGCACGCGCCTTGTCGATCAGCACAGTGTACTTGGCGGCATACAGGTCCCAAAACTCTTTATCCGACTTCCACGGCTCCAGATGCACGTTCCAGATGGATTGGCCGTGGGCCTTGTCGATACACACACTCGCATTACGCACCTTTTCTGGCTCACCCATTTCACACGGATAGGAGTTAATGTCGTGTAGACTAAAATATCCCACCATGGTCTTTCGATGGGCGGCCGCATTCCGTGGCGCAGTCACGGCTTTGTGATTCTGCTGCCAAGCGATATCTTGCGATCCGTCTCCGTGATGCAGATCAAAGTCGAGAATGGCGGCATGGGTCAAGCCATGGGTCATGGCCGCGTACGAGATGCCCACATGGACGTTGTTGATCCAACAAAAGCCTGACGGATGACCCGCCGAACAATGATGACCGGGCGGGCGGATGCAGACAAACGCTCGCTTGGTTGGGGCCGGACCCATGACTGCATCCACGCCTTCACTGACACCACCCAGGGCGCCTTCGAACGCGCTCAAGGATTCCGAGCACAAGTACAGGTCTCCTTCGTGAAAAGCAGGGGCATTGGTGGCGGCGCTGTCCTTGCCGGCGCTGCGAGGGCGGACTAACTCCTTGCCGTTCAACGCAAGCCGGGATTCGGCTGCATCGCACATGGTCTTCAGGTCCTCCATCCATTTGGACCCATGCACGTGCGTGACGGCGGGCGAGCTGAGCGACAGTGTGCGCGCTGTCTTGCGAATGTGGAATGGCGGCACGGGCAGCTGCTGCGGATTGAGATCGGGATGAGGAGCGAACGCGCCTCCTGCATGTCGCCGGGCTAGTCGAACATAGGCGGCCGAAATGCCCAGCACGCTGGCCTGGATGCGCTCCGGACGCTCGACGATAGAGTTAAGCGCCGCGCGGGAGGTTCGCGGGCGCGAGAAGCGATGGCCATAGCACGCATCATGGACGAGCACCAGTGTCTGCGACTGTAGCTTTGCGGACTGATGCCAATCTACTTCTTTGCGAAAGGACTCTGCTGCGATAGATGCTGCTGTAGTGACAGGGTGCTCTGCTGAGGCTGTCCGGTGAGCCTTCTTGGCCATGTTTGGGTGAGTGGCGGACGCGCTCGTCGGAGAGGTGCCAAACGAGGACGAGGAGTGTCGCGATAAGCTGGGGCGGGGAGAGGTGGAGGCTCCACGATTGGAACGTAGCGACGCGGTGGATGAGCGTTTCTTCAAGCTGGGAGAGGACTTGCGACGCTCCTCGGCCAGGGAGCTGGAGCTGGGGATGCGACGTGGGGTGGGATGCGCCTGGGTCGCGACAGCACGCGCGGGGGGATCGGAGGGCGATAACAGGGCGGCCGACGAGAGTCCTGGGGAAGAAGGAGGTAGAGACATCGCGTGGAGAGAGGGATGGCTCAGTCTCTGAGTCGACAAAGTCGCGTCATCTGTAGACAGCGGGGGCCCGGTTGCTGGGGGGGATGAAGCCGCAGTGAATGAAGTGGGCTCATGGCGCTTGGAGGGGTCCATATTGGGCCCATCGAGAGGTTCAGCGGATATTCTGTAGGTGGAGTAGAGAGATAGATGGAAATGGTAAAATTATAGAACTATAAAATCTAGAGATAGAGATTAAAGTAGAAAGATAAATGCGATGAGAGTTGGTAAATGGGGAGGAAGTTGAATGCTCAGGGATAGATAGGGAGGAGGGGGAAAGGAGGGAGAGAAGAGAGAGAAGAGAGAGAGAGAGAGAAAGGGAGGCAGAACACATAACAACAAGCACGGGAACTCAAACCCAATCCCCTCCTCCATAAGTCAGTCAATCAATCAATCCATTCCATTCAAATCAATCAATGTAATGCAGGGTTTCCCCTCATTCTTCATGCTTCACAATCAAGCTTCCAACTTTCCAGGTTCAGGGGCCGGCGATCCATCCGGGATTGCGCTCCACTTGGCCTCTCTACTTAATCTCTACTTCTACTACGGCTGCATTTATAAGTAGTTCTTCCAAGTGTGTCTTGCAGGAAGTCGTTGAGAATGTGACCCGTCATCCCTGACTGGGCCAATGTGGTTTCCAATAATCACTGGTCAGACAATAGTCGATCGTCTTATTGCTGCAGCCAAATAATCCATGCATCATCTGGGGTTCGCGCATCACAATCAGATCGCTCCCGATCTGATCGGAGCAGCCAATCTATTTACATCCATCTAGTCCACGATCAACTCAACTGATAGCATACTGTGTCCCTCAAGGCATAACCCCCAATAAAACACCAAAGAGAGGGGTATGAAGAAGTCTCTTTTTCTCATCGGGATTTGAAAGTCCCGCCCGACCCTGATAAAAGCAAATGATAAACGCCCGAGAAACGCCCGAACCGAACCCACCCAAAGGAGAAAGATGATCCATGCATCCAAACACCGGTGCTGATGATTCACAAAATACCCCAAATTACAAAGGAAAATCAAACGATTGCAAAAACACACTCGGCCACGTCAAACGCAGCTTAAAAGGTCCGCGACCGTAAGCTAGCGAACAAGGACCATCGCTTCTTCCGGGGAGTCGGCAGGCTTTGCTCGCTGGACTCGCTGGACTCGCTGGGCTCGCTTCTGTCGCTTCTGTCGCTCCTGTCGCTCTTGTCCGCAAAGCTCAGCATCGAGAAACGTTTGCGATCCTGTTTGCGCTCCTGCTTGCGCAACTTCCGCTCCGACTTGAAGCCGTGGGTTGCGTGTCCGTAGCAGAAACAGTGCATGTGGACCAGCTGGATAGACGTTTCGGGACAGTAATTGTTCTCATTGTTGCGCGAGGAACAAAGCTGTTGGCCGGCGTCTTCTTCACACCGGCACCATTCATAGACCATAAAGTACTGGCGACACATTTTGAGTGAGGGGGTGGGGGTAGAGAGCAGAGAAGCGGGTAGCGTGATGAGTTGGTGATGGAGGCAGTGCAGAAAAAAAGTAAACTTCGAAAAAATAAGAAGAAAAAGCGAGAGATCAAATATGCCGGAAGTTTAAACGGTCGAATCTAGATCCACCAAGAAGCAATTCGTGCCCAAAGACCGGCCGCGCTGAAGAGGGTTTGAGTCGGTGTGGATTTGGTGCGGGATTCTTCTGACTCCGCGGCCTTCCGGAGAGGGGTTGATGCGAAGTGGAATTTGTACACTGTCGTACTCCTTTTTTTGATAGAAACTGCTTTCAAAGCAGGAGAGATCTTGCTGGCCGTTGCTCGTAAGTTGAAAATCTATTTTGCGCAGAAGCTGGTGGACGAGAGGCGGTTTATAGTAGGATATAGATGACGATGGAGGGATGGAGATCACTCGGCGTTCCGCGGGTCTGGACTGGGCGGTTCGGATTGAGGGTCAAGCGGTTTGGAAAAGCTGATATGACGCACTTCCAGCACAACCAAGGCTGAAGGAATAACAGTCGCCGGGACTGTTCTATCAAAATCGAGTAGGGGGAGAGATTTCCAGGTTCACCAATGTGTATTCAGCAAGGAGGGGGGTGGAAGAGTTATGAGGAGGAGGAAGAGGAGGGGAAGAGAAAAGGCGAAGGGGAGCAGAGCGTCAATGAGGGCAAGGGAGTCAGTCGAGTCAGTCGGTCAGTCAGCGGAAAACCACCACCTCAGGGATGATCAATGAAGGAAAATGACGGCAGATGTTTCTTTAAAAAGAGCCAGCATGAGAGAAAGGGCAATGAATGACAATGCAGCAGCAAAGAGCCGTCCAGACAGTTGGTTCAGACGAAGTGTTTGACGTCAGCTGCAAGCGCTGTGGTGGAGTAGGGCGTTAAAGAGTGCGCCAAATGGAAGGATGGAATGATGGCTTCATGCAGGAAGAGAGGGAAGGGAAACGGTGAGAGATGCAGCTACCCTGGTTCATCATGACGAAGAGAAGGTCGACGACTACTTTTACAAATGCTCACTGGCCCGGCTGCCACGGAGAAGAGGGATGATCGGACTGTCGCATCGATCGAAGCCCAAGCCAACTGGGGCCTAGTAACTACCTGCATTGCCTAATTCGGATGGCTCCTGAGTCCTTTTCTACTTAGTGTTACCCTTTTTATTTGGATTCCCTTATAAATCGCTTTTCATTTTCTCTGATTGTTGGTTCAGTCCCGTGAATGGTTCCCCGGTCCATCCGGGTTTTGAATGTCACTTCGGAGTTGTGGTCAGTGGTACGTTCACTTATAAAAGGAAACATCAAACAAAAAA